GAGATAGTAGGAAGTATTTCTTCAGTCATAGAGTTGTAAGGCAGTGGAATAGCCTAGAAAATGACGTAGTGGAGGCAGGAACCATGCACAGTTTTAAGACGAGGTTTGATAAAGCTCATGGAGCGGGGAGAGAGTAGCAACCGGTGAAGAGGCGGGGCCAGGAGCTAGGACTCGACCCCTGCAACCACAAATAGGTGAGTACAAATAGGTGAGTACACATACACTCCCCCCCTCCCCACTGACATCTCACTCCTTCCCCCGATCCCTCCACTCCCTCTTTTCACCCTCCTCCTCCCCACCTCTCCCTCTTTCCCCCTCTCCCTCTCCTACTCACGCACTTGCTTCTCCCTCCTACCCACTCCCCCCTCCCCATTCCTCTCCCACATAGCCACAGTTCCTCCTCTACTTCCTCCCCCCCCCACACTCTGACATACACACTAACCTAATGCACAGAATTACATAGGTTTCCCACTCTGAGACAATTAGGATAAAACAAAAATTGGTTGCCAGAGAGCAACAAGAAAAACCAAGGGACAGGAGGAGGAAGCTGCAAAGGAAGATTGGGCAGCAGAGCTCGTAAAAAGGGAACATGAATGGGAAAAGAAACTAGAAGAACTTAGCATGAGAATGGAAGAGAGGATAGATATGGAAAGCAGGAAGTGGGAGGTGCAAGTCAAAGCAGCAGAGGCCAGGATACAGAGTTTAGAAGAGGAACTGAAAAATCTGAAACAGCCTAAAGAACTAAAGAACATTTTGGGATATGAAGCAAGAAAACAAGGGGAAAAAAAAGCAATTGAAAGCATCATGAAAGCAATAGGAGAAGATGACATGACCCAGCTGGAAAATTTTCGGAGAATAGGGGGGTTTGTAAAAAAAAGAACCCGGCAAGTGAAAGTGACTTTCAAGGCAGAATCGACTCGGAACAGGATCCTCCAGGAGAAAGCACGATTAAAGAGGGAGCAGAGATATTGTGTGTACCATTAACAAAGATCTTCAACACATCATTTGAAACTGGGCAACTCCCCAAGGTATGGAAGATGGCAAATGTAGTCCCAATTTTTAAAAAGGGAGACAGACATGAGGCACTAAACTACAGACCTGTATCACTAACGTGTATAGTATGCAAGGTCATGGAGAAGATCATCAGGAGGAGAGTGGTGGAGCACCTGGAAAGAAACAAGTGTATAATTGACAACCAGCATGGTTTCAGGGAAGGAAAATCCTGTGTCACAAACCTACTAGAGTTTTATGACAAGATGACAGAAGTAAGACAAGCGAGAGAGGGGTGGATCGACTGCATTTTTTTGGACTGCAAGAAGGCCTTCAACACAGTTCCTCACAAGAGGTTACTGCAAAAGCTAGAGGATCAGGCACACATAACAGGAAAGGCACTGCAATGGATCAGAGAATACCTGACAGGGAGGCAACAACGAGTCATGGTACGTGACGAGGTGTCAGAGTGGGTGCCTGTGACAAGCGGGGTTCCACAGGGGTCAGTCCTAGGACCTGCGCTGTTCTTGGTATATGTGAATGACATAACGGAAGGGATAGACTCAGAAGTGTTCTTGTTTGCAGATGATGTGAAGTTAATGAGAAGAATCAAATCGGATGAGGATCAGGCAGGACTACGAAGAGACCTGGACAGGCTACAAGCCTGGTCCAGCAACTGGCTCCTTGAGTTTAACTCTGCCAAATGCAAAGTCATGAAGATTGGGGAAGGGCAAAGAAGACTGCAGACACAATATAGTTTAGATGGCCAAAGACTGCAAACCTCACTCAAGGAAAAAGATCTGGGGGTGAGTATAACACCGAGCATATCTCCTGAGGCGCACATCAATCGGATAACTGCTGCAGCATTCAGACGCCTGGCAAGCCTACGGATAGTGTTCCGATACCTCAGTAAAGATTCGTTCAAGACTCTGTATACCATTTACGTCAGGCCCATACTGGAGTATGCAGCACCAGTTTGGAATCCACACCTAGTCAAGCACGTCAAGAAATTAGAGAAAGTGCAAAGGTTTGCAACAAGACTAGTCCCAGAGCTACGGGGATTGTCCTATGAAGAAAGGTGAGGGAAATTGGCCTGACGACACTGGAGGACAGGAGGGTCAGGGGAGACATGATAACGACATATAAAATACTGCGTGGAATAGACAAGGTGGACAAAGACGGGATGTTCCAGAGAAGGGACACAGACACAAGAGGTCACAATTGGAAGTTGAAGACTCAGATGAATCAAAGGGATGTTAGGAAGTATTTCTTCAGTCATAGAGTAGTCAGGCCGTGGAACAGCCTAGAAAGTGACGTAGTGGAGGCGGGAACCATACATAGTTTTAAGGCGAGGTATGATATAGCTCATGGGGCAGGGAGAGAGAGGACCTAGTAGCAATCAGCGAAGAGGCGGGGCCAGGAGCTGTGACTCGACCCCTGTAACCACAAATAGGTGAGTACACGTATTCCACACACATACAGTATTACACGAGCAGTCTATTAGTGTTTAAATTAGTGTGTATCTTTTACAATTATTAGCATACAAACTATAAGTTCACACTATCATGACTGTATGAATTCCAAGAATGAGGAATTGTACAGGTCATTGACTGCCAAAAACCAATTGGTTGTAAAGCACACTTGATGCCCCTGGAATTCTTTCATATCTGCAGTGTAGGGTAGCTTATTCACCTCATGGCCAGTGGGTCAGCAGTTCACAGTCCATGCGGCTCCTCTCTTACCATATCTCGGATTTCTTTGAACTGCCTTAATTAAAATGTTAAACTCTATTGAGGTATGTATAGTAAAACTTTTTTATTTTATGGTTTCTCATCCTTTTACTATGTTTAATTTTAAATGACTTGCATTGCAGTTAACACACAAAATTTTAGTATAGGTATTGTATTTTTAACCTCAAAAGACTAATAATGCCAGAGAAAAAAAGGTGAGAAAATAAATGTTATTAACCATTCATTGGCTGATACACGAGTCATTTTTGGTTCCTTCACATTAACCCTTTGACTGTTTCGGTCGTGTATATATATATATATATATATACAGTCTGTATATGTCTTACGAGGTACTGTGTTTGACGTATATATACTCATAAATTCTAGCGGCTTCAAATCAAGCAGGACAAAGCTGGTAGACCCACATATGAGAGAATGGGTCTGTGTGGTCAGTGTTCACCATATAAAAAAATCCTGGAGCACACAGTGCATAATGAGAAAAAAACTGACCGTTTTTTTTTTTTTTTTTTTTTTTTTATTATTAAAATGCCGATTTTGTGGTCTATTTTCGTATGGTAATTATGGTTGTATACTCGTTTTCTTGGTCTCATTTGATAGAATGGAAAACATATTATAGAAATAGAGGTGATTTTGATTGATTTTACTATAAAAAAACCTGGAAATGGAGCTCACAGTAGGGGAAATGTCTGATTTTGTTCAAAAGTAAACAAATGATGTCATTGTCCAATAAATGTCCAACTAGCCATTCTAATATGCAGTCATGAATGGGTTGACATTATTTATAAAATTATTACAGTGTTGCAGTAGTCTGCATAACAATAAATCTTCAATTTTTTGTTTGAATAAAAATTCAAAATAGAAAGCAAGAGTAACATCAGAGGGGCCTGGAGACATGACTGATGAACAAAGAAAATGCTATTTTAGAGCCAGGAATGTCTGCATTGTTCATTCTGGACCTTATTTTGAAATTGTCATACTTTTAATTTTCACAAAATTGGCCAAATTGCAAATATCTGACTGTGTTATTGGGTAGTTGAAATCGGTAAATGGGCAGATTCCTATACTCAGTCGATAGAAAAAATGGAGTTCTAAAGACTGGAACAATAGAATTAGCTGAAAATAGGTCTCAAAGTGGGCGAAATCACCTGTTTGTAAATATCGCCGAGGTCACTAACTTCGTGAGAGCGTAATTCCGTCAGTTTTCCATCAGATTTCGTTTTTTTGGTGTCATTACATTACAATCTTTTGATACATACAATGACCACCTTTCCTCTCCAGCTGCCTCCTCCATTTCAAGTACTTTTGACAGGATTCCTAGAGTGATTTATCAGAACCATAAAGTGCTACATTGTGAAGAATGAAAAAATCTTGTAAATTGGTTTGATGAACCACTTACGTACAGTAAAACACCACCCCATGACAGCTGCTGTCTTAAGCTCTGCAAGTAGTTGCTCCAGCCATGTACAGGCACAGATAACAGAAGTTTGTTAGGATCAGAAGGCATAGGGTATAGCTGCAAAAAAAAAGTGGGAGGGAGGTCAGCATCTGTGTGTTTTTAGGGGTAAAATATGAATTGGTTGTGATTCCTAGGGTGGTTCATTGAACTGATAAGATATTTTTCATCCTTTACTTTGTAGTAATATATAAAATTTCCTTTTGACTCTACAGTTTTTTTTTTTTTTTTTTTTTTTTTTTAATTAATGTGTTTTGTGTATACACAAGGATTTTCTTACAGTATTTCACAAGTCAAATTCACAATGAAGGTATATTTTCTTCCTTGACTCATACCCCATTTACTTATAATCTGTTATTTCATGGTGTTTTCCTGCATTTTTTTTTTTTTTAGCTAAGATTTGCACATCTTGATCCTGTTTTGCTTTTGTTTTAAAATGACATAAAATGACATGCTTATTACTTGAGCATGATTATGAATGGACACACTGAGATGTTTATTGTCTTCCTTTTGTATCTAGCTTTACAGATTCATTACAGGAATGTTTAGTTAATTGTTAGTTAGCCTTTACCTGGTTCTAACCCTTAATAAAGGCAAACTTTGTAGTTGTGGAAAATCATTGCTTTTGCTTTACATTTTTTGAAAATTATTTATTGAGAACTTAATTTATAATATTTAAACATATTTCTATTTCCGATATTGAAACTGTGTCATGGTTTGAAATTTATATGGTTAATGATATCAGGTAACATAACAGTCTAAATGTTTCAAGAAAGTATCAGTAACATTGTCAATTGTTCAAACAGTCTTTGCTGCGTGTCTGCTTAGTGGGTGTGGAGTGTGTGTCAGCGCTGGCCATTGATCACATCCTTCAGATGAACTTGCTCCAAGCCGGCATCCTCTGGCATCTATTGCTCTTCCTTTTCAATTATGACTACACTCTTGATGAAGGTGGTGTCAGCAAGTGTGAAGATTCAAACCAACAGGTAATGTGGCTTCCCAGTTAGTTTGCTCTTGTAGAAATTGTTGAGATACTATTTGTCAATCTCTGATATTGAAACTTGGTAAATTTCATATCTAAAAGCTCAAGTTTTGATTCGTTGTATGCATGATATAGATTAGGCATATTTTATTTCCCCTCCTCCTCTCTATGAGGAGGAGGGGAAAGACTGGCGCATGCCTCATTTTTTCTTACATGTACTCCATTGTGTACACAATTTTTATGGCATGCTCGCCGAAAATATTCCTCAATTTTGCAACCATGTTGCAGTGAAAACGTGTTAACAGATCATGTGTTATTGGACATTTTACTTTTACAGCCTCTCTTCGCTTAGCGACGTACTTGTTTACTGATGACTGGACTTATGACGGGCTCTCTGACCAGAATTCATACCTAAATAATGTATATTAGAGCTGATTTCCTCTATTCTGTTTATTACAATATACAGTACAGTGCTGTATAAACTTTTAAAAATGTACCAGAAATGTTAGAAATGGTGCAGAAGTGACATTAAAACAATATCAGAGATAGTTGACACAAACCCACTACCATTGTAGTATTCTCCTCACTTAGCGACGAATTTGTTTACCGACGTGGTCTTAGGAACGGAACTCCGTCGTTAAGTGAGGAGAGGCTGTATGTAAATGTGATAATGATTGAAAAGGGAAGAATTTAAGGTAAAACTTCAATTTAACAGATTAATATAGCGAGAGAATGTCTGATAATTCTGCTTGTCCATTAAATCCAAATGATGAGTGTTTTTTCATGATCGTAATAATAATGAGCATTTCTGGAAATAACAAACTTTGACCATTAACCCTTTCAGGGTCGGCAGGCCCTCTCCGAAACTTGTTCTCAGGGTCGCCCAAATTTCAAAAAAAAAATTTTTTTTTTCTTATGAAAAGATAGAGAATCTTTTCCCGGTCATAATGACACCAAAAGTATGAAATTTTATGGAAAACTTACGGAATTATGCTTTCGTGAAGTTAGCAGTCTCGACGATGTTTACGCATCGGCGATTTTGCCCACTTTGAGCCCTATTTTCGGCCAATTCCAGTGTACTAGTCGACAAAAATTAAAACTATTTCGCTAGAACTCCATTTTGTCTATCGAATGAGTACTAGAAACCACCCATTTACCAATTTCAACTATCCAATACAATGGTCAGAATTTAGCAATTTTGCCAATTTCACACAAATTTCAAAAGATGCCAATTTCCAAATAGGGTCCAGAGTAAACGAGACAGACATTCCTGGCACTAAAATAGCATTTCCTCTGTTCATTAGTCATGTCCCCATGCCCTTCTTACATTCTTTTGCTTTCCACTTTGAATTTTTATTCTCAAAAAAAAATAGAAGATTTACTGTTATGAGACTAATGCATTAGTGTAGAATGGTATAAATAATTCGGCGTATTTGGGTGAAAGAATATTAGACTCACCAGTTGACATGTATTGGCGCTTAGCATGATTTGTTTATTTTGAACTTGGTAAAAATCGAACATTTCTGGTACTTTTTAGCTCAATTTCAATGTACTTTTCATTGTAAAACCAGTCAAAATCATCTCAATTTCTGTAATATGTCTTCCATTCTATAAAATGAGACCAGGAAAACTAGAATACAACAATAAATACCATACGAAAATATAGTGCAAAGTCGCTGTTTTAATCCAAAAACACGGTTAAAGTTTTTTTTTCTCAGTACGCACTGTGTGCTGCAGGATTTTTTTTATACTGCGCACACTGACCACATAGACCCATTCTTTCATATGTAGGCCTACCAGTTTTCTCTCACTAGATTTGAGGGTGCTAGAATTTCGGCGTACTAGTACGTCAAAAACCCTGGTGCGTAAGCCGTAGTAGTACGTCCGAAACCCTGGAAGGGTTAAATCCAAAATCAATTTACCCAGCAGACCATAACAATAATGAATAAGTCTGGAGACATCAGACTTGGTCTGTTAAATCTAAAGTAAGTTTACCTGGTAGATAACAATAACAGGCAATTCTGGAAACAGTGGGCTTTGATACATCTGGAGTTTGTCCAGACAACAGATTTTGTCCTTTAAGTCTGAAATCCATTAGACTGGAGTCCGTTAAGTTGAGGTTTAACTATTTAGGATTCCTATTTGATTTTGAAGCCAAGTACAGTATAAGGCTGTTAAGTGAACCTGGTAGTTGGGTCATCAGTTTGTGGTTAAGATGGAAAGGTCCATTAATGTAACAGTTAAATACAGTATATCCTGTGTTTTTCAGGAGTTGAGCAATCGACTAGCCAAGTTGGCCCTCTATGCCTGTGGTCGTTTGGGTGGTCTATACATGGAAGAGGACAAAGTAACCCCAGCCAATACTGTAATCCAGGGAGTGCTTCAAAAACTGCTGACCCCTTACATAGTTTCCCTTATACCCATCTGTTCATCAGAAGAGGTAAATAGCGGTCTGTTATTTTAAGAGTGTGTAACTCTTCAAAAACTCGGTGATCCTGCCAGGTTTGTTGCACAGTCACTCATATTGCATTGATCAGCCTGTCATGCAATAATGACAGCAGGCATGTGTGTGAGCATGTTAGACAGGAGTGAGTGAGTCGGGGTAGGTGGTGTTTGGGAATTGACAAGCTGTTGGACTCCAAGCAAGGTACCATTTGTGAAGGGATTCAGGGAAACCGGTTAGCTGAACTTGAGTCCTGGAGGTGGGAAGTACAGTGCCTGCACTCTGAAGGAGGGGTGGGAATATTTGCAGTTTGGAGGAGCATCTGAGCTGTAGTATCAAAGCACCTCTGGCAAGACAGTGATGGTGAAAGTATTTCTTCTTTTTTGGGTCACCCTGCCTTGGTGAGAGGCAATCAGTGTTTAAAAAAATATATATATATATGAAGGTACATTAGCATTACATAGATATTTTAATTTTCTGTTTATTCTTTTTATGAAAAGGCCATTATTTTAAGGTTAGACCCATCAGCTACCTGTGTATTGGGGGCATGATATACACTTTAATATCACCGAAGGCTTATAATTTATTTCTTAAATAATGCTTTCAGGTAAGAAAGATACTACTTACTTAAGAGAGGATAAACAATTTCCTTTTAGAATTGTATATAATTCTTAGCAGACTGGAAAAAATTTAACTATGGAGAACTGCAAAAGAAATCCTGAAGTTGGAGCTGCATGTGAATGTCTTTATGTTGTTATTACTGTGTCTGTGTTTCGGCATTTTCTGCTCTGTCTAAAACCAGGCCAAGCACTAATTATTGCAAACTTCACAGGTGTTAAAGATCTTGACAAGTAATGTAGAGACGCCATACCTCATCTGGGACAACGGCACCCGTACACAGCTCATTGACTTTCTGGCCATCAACCAACAGGCTCATGTGCGCACAGGCCAGTCAGATCCAGAATATGGGGCAGCATTTGAATTTGATGCTCACAAGGATGAGCTTATTATTGGTGGAGTCTTCATCAGAATATATAATGAGCAACCTTCATTCCCTATACAGGTAAGTAGTGTTTCTTTTAAGAGCTCATTAATGCTAGTGATTTTTTGTTATATTTTTTATTTGTTTTTAAATTTATTTATTACTCTGGAAACACAGGAAACTGCTTTTCTTGTGATAGATAATATAATATCATTTAAAATTTCATTAGCAGTTATAATCAGGTCATGCTAGCCAGATAATACCAATAGTTAAGAGGCAGAGGCAGGAGCTATGACTTTATCCCTGTAAACACATCTAGAGACTACTGCTTCTGAAGACCATATATTTAAAAATACATGATCTACAGTGAACCCCCAAGTTTCATGATTAATCCGTTCCAGAGAGCCTGCCGAAAGTCGAAATTCACGAAACTCAAAACCATTTTCCCCATAAGAAATAATGGAAATAAAATTAAAGAGGGGAAGGTACCTAGGGATTGGCAGAGAGCATGTATAGTCCCTTTATATAAAGGGAAAGGGGACAAAAGAGATTGTAAAAATTATAGAGGAATAAGTTTACTGAGTATACCAGGAAAAGTGTACGGTAGGGTTATAATTGAAAGAATTAGAGGTAAGACAGAATGTAGGATTGCGGATGAGCAAGGAGGTTTCAGAGTGGGTAAGGGATGTGTAGATCAAGCGTTTACATTGAAGCATATATGTGAACAGTATTTAGATAAAGGTAGGGAAGTTTTTGTTGCATTTACAGATCTAGAAAAGGCATATGATAGAGTGGATAGAGGAGCAATGTGGCAGATGTTGCAAGTATATGGAATAGGTGGTAAGTTAATAAATGCTGTAAAGAGTTTTTATGAGGATAGTGAGGCTCAGGTTAGGGTGTGTAGAAGAGAGGGAGACTACTTCCCAGTAAAAGTAGGTCTTAGACAGCGATGTGTAATGTCACCATGGTTGTTTAATATAATTATAGATGGGGTTGTAAAAGAAGTAAATGCTAGGGTGTTCGGGAGAAGGGTGGGATTAAATTTTGGGAAATCAAATTCAAGATGGGAATTGACACAGTTACTTTTTGCTGATGATACTGTGCTTATGGGAGATTCTAAAGAAAAATTGCAAAGGTTAGTGGATGAGTTTGGGAATGTGTGTAAAGGTAGAAAGTTGAAAGTGAACATAGAAAAGAGTAAGGTGATGAGGGTATCAAATGATTGGAGGAGGAGTATGGAAGAAGTGAATGTTTTCAGATACTTGGGAGTTGACGTGTCGGCGGATGGATTTATGAAGGATGAGGCTAATCATAGAATTGATGAGGGAAAAAAGGTGAGTGGTGCATTGAGGTATATGTGGAGTCAAAAAACGTTATCTATGGAGGCAAAGAAGGGAATGTATGAAAGTATAGTAGTACCAACACTCTTATATGGATGTGAAGCTTGGGTGGCAAATGCAGCAGCGAGGAGACGGTTGGAGGCAGTGGAGATGTCCTGTCTAAGGGCAATGTGTAGTGTAAATATGCAGAAAATTCGGAGTGTGGAAATTAGGAAAAGGTGTGGAGTTAATAAAAGTATTAGTCAGAGGGCTGAAGAGGGGTTGTTGAGGTGGTTTGGTCATTTAGAGAGAATGGATCAAAGTAGAATGACATGGAAAGCCTATAAATCTATAGGTGAAGGAAGGCGGGGTAGGGGTCGTCCTCGAAAGGGTTGGAAAGAGGGGGTAAAGGAGGTTTTGTGGGCGAGGGGCTTGGACTTCCAGCAAGTGTGTGTGAGCGTGTTAGATAGGAGTGAATGGAGACGAATGGTACTTGGGACCTGACGATCTGTTGGAGTGTGAGCAGGGTAATATTTAGTGAAGGGATTCAGGGAAACCGGTTATTTTCATATAGTCGGACTTGAGTCCTGGAAATGGGAAGTACAATGCCTGCACTTCAAAAGGAGGGGTTTGGGATATTGGCAGTTTGGAGGGATATGTTGTGTATCTTTATACGTATATGCTTCTAAACTGTTGTATTCTGAGCACCTCTGCAAAAACAGTGATAATGTGTGAGTGTGGTGAAAGTGTTGAATGATGATGAAAGTATTTTCTTTTTGGGGATTTTCTTCCTTTTTTGGGTCACCCTGCCTTATTGGGAGATGGCCGACTTGTTAAAAAAAAAAAAATTAATCCATTCCAGACACCCAAAAATATTAATTTTTTTTTTTTTTTTCAAATTAAATAAAGATTTACATACTGAAAACAATCAGAAATCAAGTACATTCATTTAAAGAAATAATAACAACATTACACTTACCTTTACTGAAGACTTCTGGGTGGAAGGAAGATAGGAGGAAGGTGTACACTATTGTTTGGAAGGAGAATCTCCTTCCATTAGGACTTCAGGTATGAAGTCCTTATCTGGGGTTACTTCCCTTCTTTGTTTTTTAAAGACACTGGCACTGGGAAACAACTTGAGAGCCACTGGACCCCTGTCTCACAAAATATCTGTCCAGAGAGCTCTGTTTCTGGCATTTCTTTTAAGATTTGTCTGAAGTGGGACACAACACTGTCATTGTACATGTTGAACATTAAAATGGTATAAAATAACGACAGGTTGTTAGGTAACACACATATGCAACAGTTAGGTATCTTTATTTCGAAACGTTACGCCTACACAGTAGGCTTCTTCAGTCGAGTACAGAAAAGTTGATAGAAGCAGAAGATACTTGAAGACGATGTAATCAGTCCATCACCCTTAAAGTTTTGAGGTGGTCAGTCCCTCAGTCTGGAGAAGAGCATTGTTCCATAGTATGAAACAATATTGTTTCATGTATGTTTCATAGTATGAAACAATATTGTTTCATACTATGGAACAATGCTCTTCTCCAGACTGAGGGACTGACCACCTCAAAACTTTAACCCTTTACCAGGTTAAGGGTGATGGACTGATTACATCGCCTTCAAGTCTCTTCTGCTTCTATCAACTTTTCTGTACTCGACTGAAGAAGCCTACTGTGTAGGTGAAACGTTTCGAAATAAAGATACCTAACTGTTGCATTGTACATGTTGCCAATATGGCCTGCAAGAGCTTTGTTAGGGTGAAGTTCATCCATAAATGTTTGCACTTCAGTCCACTTTGCACAAATGTCCTTAATCTTTGAAGAAGGCACCTTCCTCCATCTCTCTTCCTCCTCCTTTGCAGCAGTTTCCTGAGCTGTGATCTCTTGCTGTTGCACATGAAGCTCTTGCAGCTCTTCAGTGGTTAGCTCTTCCCTGTGATCCTCCACCAACTCTTCCACATCCTCACCACTCACCTCCAACCCCAGGGACATCCCCAATGCCACAATAGTTTCCACATCTGGCATAGGCTCCTTAGGGTCAGCCACAAACCCTTCAAAATCCCTCTCTTCTACACAATCTGGCCACAAATTTCTCCAAGCAGAGTTCGAAGTCCTGGAAGTCACTCCCTCCCAAGACTTACCTATAAGGTTTATGCAATGGAGGATATTAAAGTGATCTTTCCAGAACTCTCTTAGGGTCAATTCAGTGTCTGAGATCACTTCAAAGCACTTTTGAAACACTGCTTTTGTGTAGAGTTTTTTGAAGTTTGAAATGACCTGCTGGTCCATGGGCTGGAGGAGAGGAGTTGTATTAGGGGGCAAGAACTTCACCGTGGTGAAACTAAACTCCTCCACTATTTGCTCTTCCAAGTCTGGAGGATGAGCAGGAGCATTGTCCATTACCAGGAGGCACTTGAGTGACAGTTTATTTTCCAGGAGGTATTTCTTCACACTGGGGCCAAACACTTCATTAAACCAGTCTAGGAGAATATCCCTTGTGACCCATGCCTTATTGTTAGCCTTCCACATCACACACAGATTACTCTTGGCGACACTGTTTTTCTTGAACACACTGGGATTTTCAGAGTGATACACCAGTAAAGGCTTCACTTTAAAATCCCCACTAGCATTACTACAAAACATGAGAGTAAGCCTATCCTTCATAGGCTTGTGTCCTGGGAGTGCCGTTTCCTCCTGCGTGATGTAGGTCCTCTTTGGCATTTTCTTCCAAAAGAGGCCTGTTTCGTCACAATTAAACACTTGCTGGGGTTTGAATTCTCCAGTGTCTACGCGCTCCTTAAACTCCTGTATAAACTTCTCAGCTGCAATTTTGTCAGAACTGGCAGCCTCACCATGCTTTATCACACTGTGAATGCCACTACACTTCTTAAATCTCTCAAACCAACCTTTGCTGGCCTTAAAATCACAAGCATCACCATTTGTTGCAGGCATTTTCTTTACGAGATCGTCATGCAACTGCCTTACCTTTTCACATATTATCGACTGCGTAACACTATCTCCTGCTAACTGTTTTTCGGTAATCCACACCAACTTCTTATAATCCACACCACTTCTTCAAAGATTTGTGATCTCCTTTTTGTCAACATATCCACCCCTTTTGCAACAACAGCACACTTTATTTCCTTTCCTTTCACCACGATCGAAGTGATGGTTGAATGTGGTTTGCCATACATCCTGGCAAGCTCTGTAACACGCACTCCACTCTCATATTTTTCATTGATTTCCTTCTTGAATTCAATCATGTTCCTCACTTTCTTTACCAAAGGGCTTGCACTAGCTTTCCTTGGGCCCATGGTGACTTATTTAGCAGTTGCAATCACAAAAAACAATGGATTATTACGTATGAACCCACGGGGTGATGGTCACGTGTTGGTAAACAATGGCACACTGAGCGTGAATGGTGTGGGAGACTGGCTTGGTGTGCGCGGTGACAGGCGGATGGGTACCAGACGGTCGCCGAATCACGAGTCTAATCACGAAACTTGAGGCCAAATTTTGCCAAAAAACTTTCTGAAAGTCGAATTTCACGCAAGTCGATGCTGCCAAAACTCAGGGGTCCACTGTACATGGCTCAAAAACTATCATACTTAATTTTCCTTAACAGTTATCCATTAACATAAACTATTTCATACTGCACATGGAGGGCATTATATTAATGCATGATAGAATAAATCTGGAAATAGTTGATGTACTAATGCATGGAATGGTATTGTGGGAAATATCAGTCTTTCATCATTAAATTAATAGAAAGTTTTAAATGCAGTACAGTTATTATGCTAATGTCTTTCATTTTTGTTAACCCTTTGACTGTTTCGGTCGTATACATACATCTTACGAGCCATTGCGTTTGACGTATAGTATATACTCATAAATTCTAGCAGCTTCAAATCAAGCAGGAGAAAGCTGGTAGGCCCACATGTGAGAGAATGGGTCTGTGTGGTCAGTGTGCACCATATAAAAAAATCCTGCAGCACGCAGTACATAATGAGAAAAACAAAACTCCGACCGTTTTTTTTAATTAAAATGCCGACTTTGTGGTCTATTTTCATATAGTATTTATGGTTGTAGTCTCATTTTCTTGGTCTCATTTGATAGAATGGAAAACATGTTATAGAAATAGAGGTGATTTTGATTGGTTTTACTATAAAAAGAACCTCGAAATGGATCTCAAAATAGGGGAAATGATTGATTTTTGCCGATGTTCAAAAGTAAACAAATGATGTCATTGTCCAATAAATGTGCAACTATCCATTCTAATATGCAGTCATGAATAGGTTGACATTATTTATACAATTATTACAATATTGCAGTAGTCTGCATGACAGTAAATCTTCTATTTTTTGTTTGAATAAAAATTCAAAATAGAAAGCAAGAGTAATATCAGAGGGGCCTGGAGACATGACTGATGAGCAAAGAAAATGTTATTTTAGAGCCAGGAATGTCTGCATTGTTTATTCTGGACCCTATTTTGAAATTGGCATATATTTAATTTTCATGAAATTGGCCAAATTGCAAATTTATGACCATGTTATTGGGTAGTTGAAATCGGTAAATGGGCAGTTTCTTGTACTCGCTCGATAGAAAAAATGGAGTTCTAAAGAAATAGCTGTGAGTTTGGTCGACTGGAACAATGGAATTAGCTGAAAATTGGGCTCAAAGTGGGCGAAATCGCTGATTCATAAACATATCGGAGATCGCTAACTTCGCGAGAGCGTAATTCCGTCAGTTTTCCATCAAATTTTGTTCTTTTGGTGTCATTACCATCGGGAAAAGATTCTCTATCATTTCATTAGATTTTTTTTTTTTTTTCAAAATTTTTTGACACCAGGAGACACCTCAGGATTAGGGGTTGTGACAGTCAAGGGGTTAATAAACAAAAATATACACAATATTTTATAATTAACGTTTTAATAATGCATTTGTCATTGCCAACAGAAGGCGAAGGAGCTTACCCTAGAGCTTCTCCAGTATATTGGTGGAGAAACCCAGTATGTCCACTCTCTGCTGTCTCTCTCAGCCGCCACAGTGTCACATCCAAGACTTGCACGTGTTGGTGATGCCCTTCAAGCTCTCGTTAATGTCATAAAAAATAACCCAGGTAAAAATGACTGGCAGTGTAGAGTAAAAGTCTGCTTCTTTAATATATAATATACTCAGTAGCTGCATGCAGTTTTTTAGCTGTAAATCTAAACATCGTGCCTTTTTTTTTTTTTTTTAAATATTTCTTTAATTTTTATTAATTTAATGTATACGTATTTATGTACTCCCCTGTGTTAGGTACACTGCCGAGGCATGCACAGTCTACCCCTTGCAGTTTTTGTTGTTATTTCTCTTCCATAAAATATATCCTATAAAAGATTGTTGTTGTTAATAAGTTAGTTATATACTTTGACAAGGAAAGCTTTTCATTTTCTGGACATTGTTTTTAGTTTACATTAAAGTGTTAAGATTTTTCACTTTGTGATTTCTTGACTGATACCCATATGCTAAGTCAGCTGTGACTCCCTCGTCTCCTTCCTTCTCTTTTGCCAATGTCCTTCTCTCAACATCTTTACCTCTCTTCATATATCATGTCTCTTGCAGGTGCTGTGAAGCACTGAATGATTCATAAAGGCTAAGAGCTTTACAGGAATATAATACAGTAATAACAGTGATAATAATTTAGTTTCTTTGCCTCTCTTTTTTAATAGTATTGTTATTTTAACAAATTATATTTTGTTATATTGCTTTATAACTTTAGATTGTGTACTATAATCAAATTATACATTTTTATCACCAGTATTGGAAATTAGCTTTCTGTAATTGTTGCATGTGATGAGGATTGACTGGGTTAATGTAAGATGTAGAGCAGAGTAGTAGGACAAAATTTTAAAGACTTTTGTAATTGATCACAGGACGAGACTGTAAAGCATCCCTAGATGGTGAGCGGGAACCAGGTACTATGAACTGCAACATTGATACGTGTGTATCTAATAGGCAAGGCATGACGCTGGTACATTTACAACATTTAACTGCATCTTCCATATTTTGCAATGAGTTATTCGTCTGGGCACAAAATATTCAGGACATGGAATATTCATCAGAGCTACATTCCTTGATATTTTATAATCTCATTTTTAAGAGTGTTGGATGTTCTTGTTGAGATTTCCATTAATTCATTTTGTCTATATTACGTATTTGTTAGCTAAAAGGTCGTGGAAAATAAGTTAAGACCTTAATATTAGCTGTCAACCTTTTTTTTAGATTTCTTTATTGTTGGAATCATACATTTATTAATTAATCCTGATATTTATGTTTGGTTATCTTCAGTGTGAAAAATTTTCAGATAAACTTTCACAGTTGCACTAACAGTTCTTCTAGACAACAAATGTAATTTTTGTTTTCCTAAGGCACTAGCCTCATGCCTTGTCAGACTCAATAATCTGTATTTTGTTTTGGTTTCCTGGTACTCTTTTTGAAAAACAGTCTATTTCACACCTTTTATTCTTTTATTCTTGTTGATATTTTCATGCCAAGCAAAATGTCAAATGTTACCTGCCATATGGTTGTGTTTGCAGTATTGGAATTATAGTCTGCATATTACTGTAATGTCTGCTCATTGTTTTTATTTGTGCTAGGGGAAAGGAAAGATGCTATTATGAGGGCATCAACCTGCTGCTACTTTTCAAAAAATTTTACATTTGGGACTGGCATTTATTCATAGTTAACCACTTCATTAATAAATCTTTTTCTTTGACCAATACAATTTGTAATTGCCATATACCATGCATGTCATGTATGGTTGTTGCTTGTGAATGTAGTAAGTAAATGTAAATGTTTTAAGACGAGCCATTGGTTTTTTACTGTATGGATGTTAGCCGGCATCTCTGTGTACGTGACTTTAGATTAGGTTACATTACATTAATATAAATTAGCCAAAATTAACAAATTCTAACAGTGTAATAGCATGGAGAATGTTTCCTTGATGTAACATAGAGAAGACGCTTTATTATCCTTGCATAAAGAAAACCAAGGTCATGGCATAGTGATAATATTGCTTGTCAAATATTTTTTAATTACACTGTAAAAAGCAGTGTTTCTCTTAGAAGGATGGGTTATCAGCTGTGATGGACATTTGTTTTGGTACTTTTGAAGTTCTTTGCAAGAAAATTTTACTTTTTTTTTTTTTTTTTTTTTAACACATAGGCCGTTTCCCCCTGAGGCAGGGTGACCCAAAAAGAAAGAAAAAAAAACTTTCATCATCATTCAATACTTTCACCATCACTCATACATAATCACTGTCTTTGCAGAGGTGCTCAGATACGACAGTTTAGAAATCCCTCCAAAATGCCAATATCCTAAACCCCTCCTTTAAAGTGCAGGCATTGTACTTCCCAATTCCAGGACTCGAGTACGGCTAACCGGTCTCTCTGAATCCCTTCACAAAATATTACCCTGCTCACACTCCAACAGCTCATCAGGTCCCAAAAACCATTCGTCTCCATTCACTCCTATCTAACATGCTTGTTTATTATCAATAATAGCATTATTAGCTTTATAGAATTTTGCTTTTCGATTTAGTTCAAATATAATTATTTTTGGAGGGTAATGGGTTTTGTCATGATTATTTGTGGCCACTAACTGTCTGGCATTATGTACTGTAGTTACTTTGTGATTGCTGAGAAAATGTCTAACAGGGTTTAGAGTTTTTGTGTTTACTGATGTTGCTAGTTGATAGTGCCTATGGTTGTACAAGATCAGTTTAAATGTTAGCAGCTAGTTTATGCCTCTTCTTTCTTCTGTTTCATTCTCATATAATCATCTGACATTTGCCTACTTCAGGATAATCTCTTAAAAGATTCAATCATACTTGCTATCAGCTTTGATTTTGTATGTGATGATGGATTCAGAGTGGAGAGTCCTTATACAGTGATCTGCTAATAGGATAATCATTTAAAAGATTCAATCATGCTTGTTGTTCCATTATACAGTGCCAGTATTTTTAATACTGTCCCTGTCTCCCACAGCTCTGTCACTGATGCCAGTGTAGCTCACATACATCTGATTTTTAAGTACAAGTCGCTCAGATAGGATGTGAGTGATAAATTTAGGCCTAGACTGAGAGAATGGGTATGTGGAGTGAAGATGTATAGTATAAAAAAAAAATCCTTCCCCACACAATGTGTGATGGGAAAAACAGACCTGTGACCTTGTGGTTGGCTTAAAGTTTGAAGTGTTTTCTAGGGTGGTTTTTAGGGTTTTATTGGCTGTTTATTGATATCAGTTGATAGAATGGAATACATACTAGTGAAATAGAGATAAGTTTGGTTAGTTTCAAACCAGAAGTACGTAGCTTTGAAGTAGGGCTCACAGTGGTGGAAATAATAAAGTTTTGACAATTTTCCTGAGGAAGGATAAGACTGATTTTTTGTGTGATGATGGATTCAAAGTGGAGAAGCCTAAGGACATCATTAATAAACAGAGGAATAGTTGCTTTAGTGGCTGGAATACCTGCAGTCTTTATTTTGGACTCTTAACAAAAATATTTTTTTCTTTAATCTTGTGTGAAATTTGTGTAAGTTTCCATCAAATTTTGCATTTTTAGTGTCATTATCTTCAGAAAAAGATTCTCCCTCATTTCAGAAGGTAAAATTATACATATATCTTTTTAAATTGTGACACTGTCAGCACTTTTGATTTCTGGGATCACGACTGTGAAAGGGTTAAATACAACATCAGTACAGCTCATGAGATTGATGACACTCCAGGAATACTGGTGATCTTTGTTAGCCACTCATCTTTTATTACTCTTTTAACATCAGCATTGATAATTTATACCTGTAACCTATCAAAAATTTCAATGTTTGGAACATTATAGCCAGGGCTTGGCATATAAGAGGGTGTTAATTTTCCTTGTTTGTGGAGACACAGACAGTTGTAATATCTTTTCCTCTCCAAATGTAGCATGTTTTGTATAGTACCTGATTTTAGTAGCAAACATGTATTCCTGGGTAGTGGAATCACAATCATAACATCATTCCTTACTAATGGTAGCATAATTCACCATCTGTTTTAGTGGCTAACATATAACAGGTTTCTGTATTATGGTAGTGGTTTTGACTAATACTAGATTTTGGTGTGTTACTATTTTGTCTTAACCAACAGTTAGTCTTAGTTTTTTACATCCTGCTTCCAGGTGGATATAATTTTTTCATTCATTTTTCATAAAAGGTTAGAATCTCTTCCTTTCTCATATAGCATTACTTCTGCAAAATGTAATTAAAATAATTTAAATATCTTTGTTTATTTTGTTTAATAATACCCCAAAGTGTAGCAAAATAATATATTTACTGCAACCTGAGATGGATATTTTCCAATTTCTGAATTGACCATATGAGTTGAACATTCTTAAGTAATTCATATTTGAAATTTTTAGGAGTTGAGATGCAGTGCATAGGTCACTTCAAGCTGCTCTTCTCTCTGCTGCGACTGGAGGGTTGTGTGAGTGTGCAACAGTGTGTGTTGGCTGTGATGGAGGGAGTGACTGGTAATGCTGACTGTGTCAGTGATATTGCTGCTTCAGAGGTAAGCCACCAGCATACTCATAGTTATATATGCATATTATAATTGTTGATGCTTTATGCAAGGTACCAGCAGTAGCTGTAGAGCCGGAAGCTTGATATTATTATCCGTTAACCAAGGCTATTATTTGTGATAGACCCTTGAGGGGAAAGGGGGTTCCTTCAGGCTGGTAATGGGCTATTGATTCAAGGAATTGAAGCTACCCTCCCCATACTTGGATCAAATCTGATTACTGTACCTCTGACCATTTCACAGGCATTACATGTCTCCTATGCGTACAGTGCTTCCCCATGAATATAATGATATTTGTGATAGATTTTATTTAATTTTTGTAAACTATTTTGCTTCATCTTCATCTCTGTACAATTGTTTCTCTAATATCTTAGTCAAGAAAAGAAAAAACAGGAAAGATTTCAGTAAAATGTAGAATTTATTAGTACAGTTATGTTAAGCTAACACTTCAGAGATAGCATGAAAAAAAAAGATTGAAAAATATTTATAGCTAAAGCATATATTAACCTGATATAATGGTCTACAGTATTTAAGTGACATTAAAAGTTTGTGTATAACATCTGATGGTACAGTATATACCATGCTTCATTTTATTAACATTGTATTTAACCCTTTGACTGTCGCAACCCCCAATCCTGAGGTGTCTCCTGGTGTCGCAAAATTTAAAAAAAAAAGAAAAAAATATTTTTTCTTATGAAATGATAGAGAATCTTTTCCCGATTGTAATAACACCAAAAAAACGAAATTTGATGGAAAACTGACGGAATTATACTCTCGCGAAGTTAGCGACCTCGGCGCTGTTTACAAATCGGCGATTTCGCCCACTTTGAGCCCTATTTTCGGCTAATTCCCTTGTTCCAGTCGCCCAAACTCATAGCTATTTCTTTAGAACTCCATTTTTTCTATCGCTTGAGAACAAGAAACTGCCCATTTACCGATTTCAACTACCTAATAATGTGGTCAGAAATTTGCAATTTGGCCAATTTCACGAAAACTAAAAAATATGACAATTTCAAAATAAGGTCCAGAATGAACAATGCAGACATTCCTGGCTCTAAAATAACATTTTCTTTGCTCATCAGTCATGTCTCCAGGCCCCTCTGATATTACTCTTGCTTTCTATTTTTAATTTTTATTCAAACAAAAAATAGAAGACTTACTATTATGCAGACTACTGCAATACTGTAATAATTGTATAAATAACATCAACCCATTCATGACTGCATATTAGAATGGCTAGTTGGACATTTATTGGACAATGACATCATTTGTTTACTTTTGAACATTGTCAAAAATCAAACATTTCCCCTACTTTGAGCTCCATTTCCAGGTTCTTTTTATAGTAAAATCAATCAAAATCACCTCTATTTCTATAATATGTTTTCCATTCTATGAAATAAGACCAAGAAAACGAGAATACAACCATAAATACTATACGAAAATAGACCACAAAGTCGGCATTTTAATTAAAAAAACGGTCAGAGTTTTTTTTTTCTCACTAAATGCACTGCGTGCTCTAGGATTTTTTTATATGGTGCACACTGACCACACAGACCCATTCTCTCACATGTGGGCCTACCAGCTTTCCCTTGCTTGATTTGAAGCCGCTAGAATTTATGAGTATATATACGTCAAACACGGTCCCTCGTAAGACGTATATATACGGCCGCGACAGTCAAAGGGTTAAATTAAAAAAAAAGCCTGTATAATTAAAACTCTTTTATCTGAAGTGTGAAGTTAATTTTCATAAATATATTAAACACAGTATATGTGTAAAAATCATGTATAATGTATGATAAATAAACTTCTTATGTGGAACTATTAAATTTTTCCATCCAAAATTTATCACATGTGTGTGCATTGTGCTGATGCTAATGCTAGCTGACAGATCAATGTTGAAGTTTCTGATGGTGCAGGAGTATCTGAGGAAAGGTTAAAGGATGTTGTAAAAGAGGTGTTGAAGAGCTAAGGGCAAAAATATGTGAGTGAGTTAGATCAGAATAAATGGAGGTGAGTGGTCACTGCAATTTGACATACTGTCGGAGTGTAAGGAAAGTAATGTGAAAGAATTCAGGAAAAACTGGTTAACAAGACTTGAATTTCAATGGTAAGGAGGTGCAATGTCTTTTGTTTAGCCCCTTGACTGTCGCAACCCCCAATCCTGAGGTCTCTCCTGGTGTTGCAAAATTTAAAAAAAAAAACAAAAAATTATTTTTTATGAAATGATAGAGAATCTTTTCCCAATTGTAATGACACCAAAAACACGAAATTTGATGGAAAACTGACGGAATTATGTTCTCGTCAAGTTAGCGACCTCGGCAATTTCGCCCACTTCGGCTAATTCCTTTGTTCCAGTCGACCAAACTCATAGCTATTTCTTTAGAACTCCATTTTTTCTATCGATTGAGTATGAGAAACTGCCCATTTACCGATTTCAACTACCCAATAATGTGGTCAGAAATTTGCAATTTGGTCAATTTCACGAAAATTAAAAAATATGACAATTTCAAAATAAGGTCCAGAATGAACAATGCAGACATTCCTGGCTCTAAAATAACATTTTCTTTGCTCATCAGTCATGTCTCCAGGCCCCTCTGATATTACTCTTGCTTTCTATTTTGAATTTTTATTCAAACAAAAAATAGAAGACTTACTATTATGCAGACTACTGCAATACTGTAATAATTGTATAAATAACATCAACCCATTCATGACTGCATATTAGAATGGCTAGTTGGACATTTATTGGACAATGACATCATTTGTTTACTTTTGAACATTGGCAAAAATCAAACATTTCCCCTACTTTGAGCTCCATTTCTAGGTTCTTTTTATAGTAAAATCAATCAAAATCACCTCTATTTCTATAATATGTTTTCCATTCTATCAATGAGACCAAGAAAACGAGAACACAACCATAAATACTGTACGAAAATAGACCACAAAGTCGGCATTTTAATTAAAAAAAACGGTCGGAGTTTTTTTTTCTCATGCACTGCGTGCTCCAGGATTTTTTTTATATGGTGCACACTGACCACACAGACCCATTCTCTCACATGTGGGCCTACCAGCTTTCTCCTGCTTGATTTGAAGCTGCTAGAATTTATGAGTATATATACGTCAAACACGGTACCTCATAAGACGTATATGTACGGCCGCGACAGTCAAAGGGTTAAAAGTGAGGTGGTTTATGCTTGGATGTGAACTAAGATAGTTGACAAACCTCTTATCCAGTGAGGGCAACTGTTGTGATTTGTGCGTGATCCAGGAAGTGTAATATCTTTGGTTGCAAGGGTATAACTCCTAGCTTCACAGTGAAGTGAAACTAAGAACTGGGGGCTATAGGTTTCCCAAGTCCATATGTTAATACCAGTTCATATCTTTCAACTGCTCTTTATGTTGTCATATTACAGTGGACCCCCGCATAGCGAACTTAATCCGTGCAAGAGGGCTGGTCGTTATGCGAAATGTTCGCTATGCGAATTAATTTTCCCCATAAGAAATAATGGAAATAAAATTAATCCGTGCAAGACACCCAAAAGTATGAAAAAAAAATTTTTTTACCACAAAAAAATGTTAATTTTAGTACACACAAACTGAAAAAGGCATGCACAATTACATGACACTTACTTTTATTGAAGATCTGGTGATGATTGATGGGATGGGAGGAGGGGAGAGAGAGTGTTAGTGTTTAGAAGGGGAATCCCCTTCCATTAGGACTTGAGGTAGCAAGTCCTTTTCTGGGGTTACTTCCCTTCTTCTTTTAATGCCACTAGGACCAGCTTCAGAGTCACTGGACCTCTGTCGCACAACAAATCTGTCCATAGAGCTCTGTACCTCCCGTTCCTTTACGATTTGTCTAAATGGGCCATAACATTGTCATTGAAATAGTCACCAGCACGGCTTGCAACAGCTGTGTCAGGGTGATTTTCATCCATAAAGGTTTGCAGTTCAACCCACTGTGCACACATTTCCTTAATTTTTGAAGTAGGCACAATGGATTCCACAACTGGCATAGGCTTCTCAGGGTTAGCCCCAAACCCTTCAAAATCTTTCTTAATTTCCATACTAATTCTCACCCTTTTTACCACAGGGTTGGCACTAGAAGCTTTCTTGGGGCCCATGGTCACTTATTTTCCAGAAACAGCACCGAAAACACTGTAATAATACGAAATATTCCGAGTGTATGCTTGAATGTTACCGCGGAGGCTGGCTGGTAAACAATGGACGCGTCTCGGACGAAGGTCGCTGAGCGGGTTTTTGTCCACTATGCGGGGCAAAATTTTGGCGAACAAAGCGTTCGCTATGCGGATTGTTCGCTATGCAAGGCGTTCGCTATGCGGGGGTCCACTGTATTTATCATATGATTTATTGAATAACGGTGTGTGTGGGTGCATATTTTCAACTTAATTATGCTATTATCATCTTAAAACAGAGAATAATCTCCACTCTTTTAATAAATTAACCTTTCAAAATTATTCCAAAACACATTCATGTAGGTACTGGTGTATTTGATGCTGGCACTGCACTCTCCAGCTCTCACAGCTGATCGTATGATGTCCCTTAATATTCTCCATGCCCTCATGTCCAACACCAAGATAGTTAAAGAAGCCCTCAATAAAGGTAATTCTTTTGTGTATTACACTCAGCAATAGATTAATACATGAAGAAGATACTGAGAGGTTAAAATATTAGAATGCATTAATTCTGTGAAATAATTTGTATGTCATAGATGTCAGCAATCTCAGTGAGAGTTATTTATAATCAGAATAGTTTGATTATTCCTTTAACAATAAGTTTTGTACCAGTTTGTTAATAGTGTCGGATCTCATAACTCCAAAACCGGTATCACTGAAAACATCCTTGTAACATGTCAATAAATCATGCACTGATTTAGAGTGGATATTGTAAACATTGCGTGATATCACTTGCCACCATTAAGAAACATGCTGCATCCATCTCCCTCACATGTTGCCTTTGATATGATTTTACAAAAATTGCAATGTATAATTTTTATAATTAACTTAATTTCTATATCTACTGTCTTATTTATAAAAAAAATTACGAATCTGATTCTAACTTTGCAACATAGAAGCTTGAACATCTAATATACATATACAGTGGAACCTCTACTTGCGAGTTTAATCCATTCCATGACCTTGCTCGCAACTGGATTTGCTCTTTTGCAGAGTCAATTTTCCTCATTTAAATTAATTGAAATGCAATTAATCCGTTCCAGTGGAATTCTGTACTTCAATAATTTCGCTAATATCAGCTCTATGGCTTATTTATCTATCTTCTCACTTCATCTAATATGACATAATAAACAACATAAATAACATAGAAACCTGACATATACTCTAAAATGAATAAAATATGTCATTCATGTAGTGGTATGGGCGGTGTCGGCGGTGGACGAGAGTTTGTCTGGACACCGGGCAAAATTCTTCATGAATAATTTTGCTGATATCATCTATACTGCTTATTTATCTATCACAGTTCATCTAATATGACATAACAGACAATATAAATAACATAGAAACACGATATATACTCTAGAATGAATAAAATATGCCATTATGTAACAGGTGGAGGTGGCCACAACCGCTCCCTCTTTGTTGTGGTAAACACTGCCATCTAGTGATGGCCTTTTGAAGCCGTCTATTATTATACATGTAATTATATGTAGTACATTATTATTATATATGTATTATTATTATACATATTATATTATTATTATTATTGTATATTATTATTATTTTTTTTTTTTTTCAACAAGTTGGCCATCTCCCACCGAGGCAGGGTGACCCAAAAAAAGAAAGAAAATCCCCAAAAAGGAAATACTTTCATCATCATTCAACACTTTCACCACACTCACACATTATCACTGCTTTTGCAGAGGTGCTCAGAATACAACAGCTTAGAAGCATATACGTATAAAGATACACAACGTATCCCTCCAAACTGCCAATATCCCAAACCCCTCCTTTAAAGTGCAGGCATTGTACTTCCCATTTCCAGGACTCAAGTCCGACTATATGAAAATAACCGGTTTCCCTGAATCCCTTCACTAAATATTACCCTGCTCACACTCCAACAGATCGTCAGGTCCCAAGTATCATTCGTCTCCATTCACTCATATCTAACAAGCTCATGCACGCTTGCTGGAAGTCCAAGCCCCTCGCCCACAAAACCTCCTTTAACCCCTCTTTCCAACCCTTTCGAGGACGACCCCTACCCCTCTTTCCTTCCCCTATAGATTTATATGCTTTCCATGTCATTCTACTTTGATCCATTCTCTCTAAATGACCAAACCACCTCAACAACCCCTCTTCTGCCCTCTGACTAATGCTTTTATTAACTCCACACCTTTTCCTAATTTCCACACTCCGAATTTTTTGCATAATATTTACACCACACATTGCCCTTAGACAGGACATCTCCACTGCCTCCAACCATCTCCTTGCTGCTGCATTTAAACCACCCAAGCTTCACACCCATATAAGAGTTTTGGGTTACTACTATACTTTCATACATTCCCTTCTTTGCCTCCATAGATAACGTTTTTTGACTCCAAAATATTATACCTCAATGCACCACTCACCTTTTTTCCTCATCAATTCTATGATTTAACCTCATCCTTCATAAATCCATCTGCGACACTTCAACTCCCAAGTATCTGAAAACATTCACTTCTTCCTACTCCTCCTCCCAATTTGATATCCAATTTTTTCTTTATCTAAATCATTTTGATACCCTCATCACCTTACTCTTTTCTATGTTCACTTTCAACTTTCTACCTTTACACACATTCTCAAACTCATCCACTAACCTTTGCAATTTTTTCTTTAGAATCTCCCATAGCACAGTTATCATCAGCAAAAAGTAACTGTGTCAATTCCCATTTGAATTTGATTCCCATAATTTAATCCCACCCTCTCCCGAACACCCTAGCATTTACTTCTTTTACAACCCCATCTATAAATATATTAAACAACCATGGTGACATTACAATCCCTGTCTAATACCTACTTTTACCGGGAGTATTCTCCCTCTCTTCTACATACCCTAACCTGAGCCTCACTATCCTCATATAAGCTCTTTACAGCATTAGTAACTTACCACTATTCCATATACTTTGCAACATCTGCCACATTGCTCCTCTATACCACTCTATCATATGCCTTTTCTAATCCATAAAATGCAATAAAACTTCCCTACCTTTATCTAAATACTGTTCACATATATGCTTCAATGTAAACACTTGATCTACCTTCCCCTACCCACTCTGAAGCCTCCTTGCTCATCCGCAATTCTACATTCTGTCTTACCTCTAATTCTTTCAATTATAACCCTACCGTATACTTTTCCTGGTATACTCAGTAAACTTATTCTTCTATAATTTTTACAATCTCTTTTGTCCCCTTTCCCTTTATATAAAGGGACTATACATGCTCTCCGCCAATCCCTAGGTACCTTCCCCTCTTTCATACATTTATTAAACAAAAGTACCAACCACTCCAACACTATATCCCCCCCTGCTTTTAACACTTCTGTCATGATTCCATCAGTTCCAGCTGCTTTACCCCCTTTCATTCTACGTAATGCCTCACGTACCTCCACCACACTTACATTCTGCTCTTCTTCACTCCTAAAAGATGGTATACCTCCCTGGCCAGTGCTTGAAATTACCGCCTGCCTTTCTTCCTCAACATTTAAAAGCTCCTCAAAATATTCTTGCCATCTACCTATTATTATTATTATTATTATTATTATTATTATTATTATAATTATTATACATATTATTATTATTCATATTATTATTATACATATTATTATTATTTTATTTATATTTTTTTTTATTATCACACCGGCCGATTCCCACCAAGGCAGGGTGGCCCGAAAAAGAAAAACTTTCACCATCATTCACTCCATCACTGTCTTGCCAGAAGGGTGCTTACACTACAGTTTTTAAACTGCAACATTAACACCCCTCCTTCAGAGTGCAGGCACTGTACTTCCCATCTCCAGGACTCAAGTCCGGCCTGCCGGTTTCCCTGAATCCCTTCATAAATGTTACTTTGCTCACACTCCAACAGCACGTCAAGTATTAAAAACCATTTGTCTCCATTCACTCCTATCAAACACGCTCACGCATGCCTGCTGGAAGTCCAAGCCCCTCGCACACAAAACCTCCTTTACCCCCTCCCTCCAACCCTTCCTAGCCGACCCCTACCCCGCCTTCCTTCCACTACAGACTGATACACTCTTGAAGTCATTCTGTTTCGCTCCATTCTCTCTACATGTCCGAACCACCTCAACAACCCTTCCTCAGCCCTCTGGACAACAGTTTTGGTAATCCCGCACCTCCTCCTAACTTCCAAACTACGAATTCTCTGCATTATATTCACACCACACATTGCCCTCAGACATGACATCTCCACTGCCTCCAGCCTTCTCCTCGCTGCAACATTCATCACCCACGCTTCACACCCATTATAAGAGCGTTGGTAAAACTATACTCTCATACATTCCCCTCTTTGCCTCCAAGGACAAAGTTCTTTGTCTCCACAGACTCCTAAGTGCACCACTCACTTTTTTCCCTCATCAATTTTTTTGATTCCCCTCATCTTTCTAGACCCATCCGTGACAGCCCATCCCAAATATCGAATACTTTCACCTCCCCTAATCTCTCCCCCCCAACTGATTTTCAATTTTTATCACAAAATTTTTTTTGTTATTATAACCTTACTTTTTCCTGTATTCACCTTTAATTTTCTTTTTTTGACACCCTAAAAAAATTCATCCCCCAATCTCTGAACTTCTTTCAGAATCCCCCAAGAGCACAGTGTCTCAGCAAAGAGCAGCTGTGACAACTCCATTTTGTGTGTGATTTTTTATTTTTTAAAAACCCCCACCCCTTTTGGGGGCCCAAGACCCTCGATTTATTCTTTACAACCCATCTTAAAATATTAAAAACCACGGTGACATACACATCCTTGTCTAAGGCCTACTTTTACTGGGAAAAAATTTTCCCCCTTCCTACAATCTAACTTGAGCCTCACTACTCGTAAAACTTTTCACTGCTTTCAGTAACCTACCCCCTACCCATACACTTGAAAAACGCCACATTGCCCCCCTTCCACCCTGTCATAGCCTTTTCCCCAAAACCATAAATGCCACAAAGACCCCTTTAGCCTTATCTAAATACTGTTCATTTATGTTTCACTGTAAAAAACCTGGTCCCCCAACATATTATTATTATTTTTATCAATATTATTTTTATTTTTATTTATATAAATTTTTTTTTAATTTTTGTTCACACAAAAAATATAAGATTTACTGTTATTCCTTATTGCAATAATTATATAAAAAATGTCAACCCATTCACGACTGCATATTGGAATGGCAGTGACATACATCATTTTTTTTACTCTGAAACAGCCAAGGAATGGCCCTTTTCCTAGGTTGAGCTCAATTTCAAGGCACTTTTGTTATGAAAAGCAATCAAAATCATATTATTTTGAATTATTTTCCCTTCTATCAAATGAGACCAAAAAAAAAAAGAGAGTACAACCATAAAAAACCCTTCGAAAAAAACCGCTAAGGGGTGGCTAATTGCTGAGAAAGTGAACTCCATTATTTATGCTTAGATTTCTTTTATTTTTTGGGGTCGTTAAGAAATCTTTCCATCATACATTTCCCAAGTTTAATAAGATAGTTCAAAAAACAAATGAGATACAAATTTCGAGATCAAGAGCAAGAGCCCCCCACCGTGTCAAAGGGAACCCGCCCTTTGGGTCGGGTTGCTTGTGAAATTTTCTCGTATGGAAGAAAAAATGACCATCAACTACTCGTATTTGGAAAAACTCGCACATGGACACGCTCACAAGTAGAGGTTCCACTGTATAAACTATGATGAGTACAGTCACATTTCTGTGGCTGAAACATTTAACAACTAACCTACAATTTGGAGATAATGTTTTGGTCTGTCTTGAACCATAGTTAAGTCACAGCTAAAGAGGAAATGGGAAAAGGTCAGACAGCAGCCCTGGTGAATATATTTTGGAGAGTGGTCCACTGGCTATGATGGGCTGTTGGAGAGTGAGTAGTGTAACACAGATGAAAGGATGGGCTGTTGGAGAGTGAGTAGTGTAACACAGATGAAAGGATGGGCTGTTGGAGAGTGAGTAGTGTAACACAGATGAAAGGATGGGCTGTTGGAGAGTGAGTAGTGTAACACAGATGAAAGGATGGGCTGTTGGAGAGTGAGTAGTGTAACACAGATGAAAGAATTTGGTGAATCTGGCTAACAGGACTTATGTCTTGAAGGTTAGAAATTGGGTATGAATATTCAAGTTTGATGGGTTAACATTGATACACAGTGTTCGCCCGTTTGAAAATTCAGCTAAAGAGCAAGTGATGGTCAATATGTTTTCTTTGGGTCACCTTGTATTGGTGGGAAATGGCTGAAAGAGTAAAAAATCTCTATAATTTTAACCTTTTTAAGAATCCACACTTATTTACTTTTAAAAAGGCACAAAACTTCTTTATAAGTGTTACCCTGCTCACACTCCAACATCACGTCAACCTATAAAATCCTTTTGTCTCCATTGACTCCGATCTAATGCACACTTACAAGCTTATTGTATTGTAATTTCACTAACTTTCTGTAATTTCAATATCTCTGTTCAATCATACCATTAAACTGAAGATCACTAAACAAGTTTAATTAATATGTAAATATTTTGTCATTGACCACTCTGTCATTAGCTACCTTTTTTATTGAACGTATGATTGTATTTAGCTACACAGGAAGTCTTACATAATGCTTTGTCTGGTTCTTAAGTAGTGTGTAAGCAAAGACAGTGATTATGTGTGAATGATGGTGAAAGTGTTTCTGTTTTAGGTCATCCTGCCTCAGTGGGAAATGGCCAATGTGTTAAAAAATCTACTCATACCATTGGATGTTCAAGCCCCTAGCACTCCTTTACCCCACAAAAACAATTGGAGGGAGGTGAGTAAAGGAGGTTTTGAGTGGTAAGGGCTTGAACATTTAACAAGCTTGAGTGAGTACATAGGAGTGAGTGTAAGCAAGTGGTTTATAATTTTTGACTTGACATTCTGTTAGTGTGTGAGCAGAATGACATTAATGAAGGGAGTGAGAGAAACCGGTTACCTAAACTTAAACCCTGGAGGTGGGAAATGCAATGGCTGTGTTCTAAATGAAGGGTGGGGATATTGCTGTTTAGAGGGCCATCTAAACTGTGATGCCCTCATGCTTTTGGAAAGATAATGTTTAAGTGATGATGAAAGTGTTTCTTCTATTATTTATTTTTCACTTCTTTTTTATAGTTATTGAAAGTTTTTTTTTTAACAAGCCTGTCCATCTCTCACCAAGGCAGGGTGACCCTAAAAAAGAAACGCTTTCATCATCAATCACACACAAGTTTTTTGTTTTTTTTTCAACAAGTTGGCCGTCTCCCACAGAGGCAGGGTTACCCAAAAAGAAAGAAAACCCCAAAAAAGAAAATACTTTCATCATCTTTCAACACTTTCACTTCACTCATAGATAATCACTGTTTTTGCAGAGGTGCCCAGATACAACAGTTTAGAAGCATATACTATAAGGATATAGTATAACATATCCCTTCAAATTGCCAATATCCCGAACCCCTCCTTTAAAGTGCAGGCATTGTACTTCCCATTTCCAGTACTCAAGTCCAGCTATATAAAAATAACCGGTTTCCCTGAATCCCTTCACTGAATATTACCTTGCTCACACTCCAACAGCTCATCAGGTCCCAAAAACCATTCGTCTCCATTCACTCCTATCAAACACACTCATCACACGTTTGCTGGAAGTCCAAGCCTCTCGCCCACAAAACCTCCTTTACTCCCTTCCTCCAACCTTTTCGAGGACAACCCCTACCCTGCCTTCCTTCCCCTACAGATTTATACGTTCTCCATGTCATTCTACTTTAATCCATTCTCTAAATGACCAAACCACGTCAACAACCCCTCTTCAGCCCTCTGACTAATACTTTTATTAACTCCACACTTTCTCCTAATTTCCACACTCCGAATTTTCTGCATAATATTTACACCACACATTGCCCTTAGACAGGACATCTCAACTGCCTCCTCACTGTAGCATTTACAACACAAGCTTCACACCCATATAAGAGAGTTGGTACCACTATACTTTCATACATTCCCTTCTTTGCCTCCATAGATAATGTTTTTTGTCTCCACATATACCTCAATGCACCACTCATTTTTTTCCTTCATCAATTTTATGGTTAACCTCATCCTACATTAACCCATCTGCTGACACTTCAACTCCCAAATATCTGAAGGCATTCACTTCTTCCATACTCCCTCTCTCCAATGTGACATCCAGTTTTTCTTTATCTAAATCATTTGATACCCTCATCACCTTACTCTTATCTTTGTTCACTTTCAACTTTCTACCTTTCCACATAAGTGTGGTCATTAATTTATTATTATCTAAATGAGTTTTGTCTTTGGTTATATTTTCTTTGTGCAGATTTTGTTTTTACAATCTAAGAGCTGTTATCCAACTTAGCTCACTTCAAAACCTTACTTGTTACTGTACATTTATACTGTATACCACTCCTGGGATGTCACCCAAAGCAATTGACTAATTTTTTTTTTTTTCAACAAGTTGGCCGTCTCCCACCGAGGCAGGGTGACCCAAAAACAGAAAGAAAATCCCCAAAAAGAAAATACATTCATCATCATTCAACACTTTCACCTCACTCACACATAATCACTGTTTTTGCAGAGGTGCTCAGAATACAACAGTTTAGAAGCATATATATAAACATACACAACATATCCCTCCAAAGAATAAGAAGAAGAAATTGACTAATACCCATGTAAATATTTACAGCTAAATGAGCAAGTACACCTGATGTAAGAAGACTCCCTTATGTGTCTTGCCTAGTTATTGAGTGCAGTTTTTCCTTTTATTTACTGAAATTTATACTTTTTCTTCCTCTGCCCAATTTTCTGGCACTGATAAAAAGTATTCATTTAGTTGGAAGAATTTATATATCTTTTTATTAACATGTCCGTCGTTTCCCACCAAAGCAGGGTGACCCAAAAAGAAAGAAAAAACTTTCATCATCATTCAACACTTTCATCATCACTCATACATAATCACTGTATGATAAGGAAAATCTTATTTACCATATATTTTGGAGTAAAGAAGTCAGCTGAATAAAACCAATTTGGTTCAACCTTAAGCACATTCTTCAGGAGTCAGAAAACAATAATAAACTGTGCACATGGTAATTTTAATAATTATTTCTCCTCTTCTAAAATAGTAATGTACATAATTTGATGATTCCCCCAAATCCAGTTAATCTGTTAATTAAAAAAATGCCAATGGACTTATTTCAAATTCCTACAGAGATTTTGTGAATCCCAGAGCTCTAGTTAACAAAGTTTCATCGTTTGGTCTAGTACTTATACCTCTTAATTATTTCTGTTTTCATACTTCTTCATTACTTCTATTTTCTGCTAAGAGAAATTAAATGTCTACCTTGTGTTTTTTTAGTGACATGGCATCTCTCATTTTGTTAATGGAATCATTGCAAATATATTTTCTTGAATCTAATTGTATTTTTTTTTTTTTTATTCTGCAGGGGCTGTTATGTATCTACTCAATATTTTCTGTTCATCGGATGATGGAGATGTAAGAGAGAAAACAGCAGAGCTAATGGGCAAAATGACTTGTGACAAGTTAGTTGGCCCTCGTGTTAGACTGATACTTCTCAGAATTCTTCCTGCCGTCTTGGTAGATCAGATGCGTGACTCACCCAGCACTGCAGTCTATTTATATGAGGCTCAACATGAGAACCCAGAACTAATATGGACGGACGAATCTCGGCAAAATGTTTCAGCCGTGGTTTCTAGATTAGTAGAAGAGTAAGCGTAAAAGTTTGTTGGTACTCCCTTGTTAACCCTTTGAGGGTGGGTCCTGTAGTACTACGGTTTTGAAGCCTGGGTCAGTCCCGTAGTTCTACATCATGAGCTTAGCTCATTCAGATAAACTGTGAGTGGTAAATTTGGGCCTAGATATGAGAGAGTGGATAAATGTGATAACTGTGCACCATATAAAAAATCCTGCAGCAAGCAGTGCATAATGGAAATAAAAAAAACTGTGTTTTTGGCTTAAAACACTAACTTTGTGGTGTATTTTCATATTCTAGGTTTCTTGGTCTCATTTGATAGAATGGAAGATATATTACAGAAATAGAGGATTTTGATTGGTTTCAGGACTGAAAGTAGCTTGAAACTGAGTTCAAAATAGCGGAGATGTTTGATTTTTGCTGATATTTCAGATTACTTGTCGAATACATGACATCTGCCTAGTCTAATATGCATTTATGAATGCACTGACATTATTTATACAATTATTACAATAATCCAGTAGTCTGCATAACAGTAGATACTATTTTTTTGTGTGTGAATAAAAATTATAATAAAATTAGGTGACGAAAGATTGAATATCAGATTGGAGGGAGAGAGTATGGAGGAGGTGAATGTATTCAGATTTTTAGGAATGGACGTGTCAACAGATGGGTCTATGAAAGATGAGGTAAATTATAGAAATGATGAGGGGAAAAAGGTGAGTGGTACACTTAGGAGTCTGTGGGAACAAAGAACTTTGTCTATGGAAGGAAAGAGGGCAATGTATGAGAGTATAGTTATACCAATGCTCTTACATGGGTGTGAAACATGGGTGGTGAATGTTGCAACAAGGAGAAGGCTGGAGGCAGTGGAGATGTCATGTCTGAGAGCTATGTGTGATGTGAATATAATCCAGAGAATTAGGAGTTTGGAAATTAGGAGGAGGTGCAGGATTACCAAAACTATTATCCAGAGGGCTGAGGAGGGGTTGTTGAAGTGGTTCGGACATGTAGAGAGAATGGAACAAAATAGAATGACTTCAAGAATGTATAAATCTGTAGTGAAGGGAAGGCAGGGTAAGGGTTGGTCTAGGAAAAGTTGGAGGGAGGGGGTACAGGAGGTTTTGTGTGTGAGGGGCTTGGACTTCAGCAAGCATGCATGCTTGAGCATGTTAGATAGGAGCGAATGGAGACAAATAGTTTTTAGGACTTGACATGCTGTTGGAGCGTGAGCAAGGTAATACTTATGGAGGGATTCAGGGAAACTGGCAGGCCAGACTTGAGTCCTAGAGATGGGAAGTATGGTGCCTACACTCCGAAGGAGGGGTATTAACCCCTTGACTTTTGCAACCCCAAATCTTGAGGTGTCTCCTGGTGTTGAAAAATTTTTGTAAAAAAAAAAAAACATTTCTTATGAAATGATAGAGAATCTTTTCCCGATTGTAATAACACCAAAAGAACGAAATTTGATGGAAAACCTACGGAATTACGCTCTCTCAAAGTTAGCAACCTCGGCGATATTTACGTATCTCTGATTTCCCTCACTTTCAGTTCTGTTTTTAGCTAATTCCATTGTTCCAGTCAACCAAACTCATAGTTACTTCTTTAGAACTGCATTTGTTCTATCGATAGAGTACAAGAAACTGCCCATTTACCAATTTCAACTACCCAATAACGTGGTCAGAAATTTGCAGCAATTTGGCCAATTTCATGCAAATTAAAAAATATGACAATTTCAAAATAGGGTCCAGAATGAACAATGCAGACATTCTTGGCTCTAAAATAACATTTTCTTTGTTCATCAGTCATATCTCCAGGCCCCCCATGATATTACTCTTGCTTTCTATTTTGAATTTTTATTCAAACAAAAAATAGAAGATTTACTGTTATGCAGACTACTGCAATATTGTAATAATTTTATAAATAACATCAACCCATTCATGACTGCATATTAGAATGGCTAATTGGACATTTATTGGACAATGACATCATTTGTTTACTTTTGAACATCGGCAAAAATCAAACATTTCCCCTACTTTGAGCTCCATTTCCAGGTTTTTTTACAGTAAAACCAATCAAAATCACCTCTATTTCTATAATATGTTTTCCAGTCTATCAAATAAGACCAAGAAAATGAGAATACAACCATAAATACTATACGAAAATAGACCACAAAGTCGGCATTTTAATTAAAAAAAAACGGTCGAAGTTTTTTTTCTTTATTATGCACTGCGTGTTGCAGGATTTTTTTTATATGGTGCACACTGACCACACAGAGACCCATTCTCTCACATGTGGGCCTACCAGCTTTCTCCTGCTTTATTTGAAGCCGCTAGAATTTATGAGTATATATACAGTGGTCCCCCGCTTTTCGTAGTTCCCGGCAATCGCTAAAATTCGCCAATCATAGGGGTATTTTCGTATAAACATGGACTCACTTTTCATAGGTTGACTCGCGAGTCGTAGTTCGTCCGGGACGTTTACGCACGGCGTGAGCCAGGGCGGAGGCCAGTCTGGCATTGTTTACCAGTGAGCGAAGGTCCCCTCGCGTGTTCCAGCGAAATATTTCATAATATTCCATTTATTTTAGTGCTTGCAAGTACTAAATAAGCTACCATGGCTCCAAAGAAAGCTTCTAGTGCTAAGCCTGTGGTAAAGAAGGTGAGAAATACGATTGAATTTAAGAAAACCATCATTGAACAATATGAAAGTGGTACAAGTGTGGCCGAACTGTCCAGGATGTATAAGAAACCCTACACAACCTTATGTTCCATAGTGGCCAAGAAAAATCAAATAAAGGATGCTGTTGTTGCAAAGGAGTAACTATGGCTGACAAAAATGAGATCACCAGTACTGGAAGAGGTTGAGAAGTTATTATTGTGTGGGATAAATGAGAAAACAATTAGCAGAAGATACTCTTATGACTTCGTTTATTTGTGAAAAGGCTAGGCAGTTGCATGAAGATTTGGTAAAGAAATTGCCTGAAAATAGTGGTGAAGTGAGTGAATTTAAGGCCAGCAAAGGCTGGTTTGAGAGATTTAAGAACCGTACTGGCATACACAGTGTGGTAAGGCATGGTGAGGCTGCCAGTTCGGACCACAAAGCGACTGAAAAATATGTGCATGAATTCCAGGAGTACATAAACAGTGAATGACTGAAACCTGAACAAGTGTTCAATTGTGACGAAACAGGCCTCTTTTGGAAGAAAATGCCAAAGAGGACCTTCTTTACACAAGAGGAAAAGGCAATGCCAGGACATAAGCCTATGAAAGACAGGCTGACGCTAATGTTCTGCGCTAATGCTAGTGGGGATTTCAAAGTGAAGCCATTACTAGTGTACCATTCTGAAAATCCCAGAGTGTTCAGGAAAAACAATGTTATGAAGAGTAAATTGTGTGTGTTTTGGAAATCTAATAGTAAGGCATGGGTCACGAGGGAAATTTTCGTCGAGTGGTTCAATGAAGTGTTTGGCCCTAGTGTGAAGGAGTATCTCCTGGAAAAGAAATTGGATCTCAAGTGTGTGCTAGTAATGGACAATGCACCTGCTCATCCTCCAGACTTGGATGACCTAATTTTCGAGGAGTTTGGGTTCATCACAGTAAAGTTCTTGCCCCCAAATACCACTCCTCTCCTCCAACCCATGGACCAGCAGGTTATTGCAAACTTTAAAAAACTCTACACAAAAGCAATGTTTCACAGGTGCTTGACTGTGACCACAGACACTCACCCTTTACCCTAAGGGAATTTGGAGAGAACACTTCAGCATCCTCCACTGCATAACCCTTATAGGTATGGCTTGGGAGGGAGTGACTACCAGGACTTTGAACTCTGCCTGGAGAAAATTGTGGCAGATTTGTGTCGACAAGAGGGATTTTGAAGGATTTTTGGGACTGACCCTAATGGAGCTATGTCTGTTGTAAAATCAATTGTGGCACTGGGGAGTTCCATGGGGTTGGATGTGAGTTTGGAGGATGTGGAAGAATTGGTGGAAGACCACAATGAAGAAGAGCTCACCACTGAGGAGCTGCAAGAGCTTCAGCAGGAAGAGCAACACATCGCAGCTCAGAATCTTGCTGCAGAGGAGGAAGAGAGATGGAAGAAGGTGCCTTCTTCAGAAATTAAAGAGATTTTTACTATGTGGGGTAAGATGGAAAGCTTTATGGAGAAACATCACCCTAACAAGGTTGTTGTGAGCAGGTGGCAACATTGTACAGTGACAAAGTCTTGGGCCATTTTAGGGAAGTGTTAAAGAGACGCCAGAAACAGAGCTCTCTGGACAGTTATTTTGTGAGACAGGACTCCAGTGACTCTCAAGGTGGTTCTAGTGGCATTAAGAAACAGAGAAGAGAAGCAACCCTAGAAAAGCAATGGTACCTGATGTGTTGATGGAAGGGGATTCCCCTTCCAAACTATAAACAATCCACTCTCTCTCCTCCTCCAGTCTCCCATACACTAAGAAGAATCTCCAATAAAGGTAAGTGTTATGCTGTTAATGTTCATTCATCATTTCCCATTGTATTGTTTATGTACTACATGTATATTTCATGTTAAAAAAATTTTTGTTTTAATACTTCTGGGTGTCAGGAACGGATTAATTGTCTTTACATTATTTCTCATGGGGAAAATTGATTCGTAAATCGTAAATTTCGTTTATAGTAACGGCTCCAGGAATGGATTAATTACGAACAACGAGGGACCACTGTACGTCAAACATGGTGGCTCATAAGACGTATATATACGACCGAAACAGTCAAAGGGTTAAGAATGTCAGTTTTGAACCACAAGTAGAGGAGACATGCACTGAATTTAAAGTAAATATTTATTATAGACTACACTTCGCTCTGAGTAGAGCTTTATCAAGGCATACAAGGAATAACAAGATAGAACATTATGTACAAGTAAGGTGAGTAGAGGAAGAAATGAACAGAGGAAATGTCATCTTTGGTGTGATGAGCAGATTCCAAGAGCATTTAGTATTGCCAAGTCAATACCTAAGCTCATCTTGCAGGTGAAAACCCATCAAGTGGCGCCAATACCTACTCACATCACAACCACAGATGACAACTAACTTGCTTCATCATTTCCCCACTCATCTTGCCTATATATAATACTTTGTTGCATTACTCCTTTTATGACTTGAGCAAGTTCTACCCTGAACATAATGTAATATATAATAAAGGTTTGGTCTATACCAGATATCTTTCTACTATTTAGAAGTACATATAGATCATTTGGCTCAAACACTTACATTATTTCAGCATATTTAAATTCTAGAGTAATATCAAATTATCACCCCTTGTTATATTTGGAGGACTTAATATTATGTTGGCTTTGTTATACAGTAGTAATTGAATTTGGTGTCAGCGCTGATTTTTATAAACAGTAACACGTAAGTTTTTCATTCTCTTGCACAAAATCATTGCTACAATAAATTTATGTACAGCATTGCAAAAATGCTAATGTAATAATCTTAATTACTTTATAGAATTCATAGTCAGCAACAGGAAGATCCAAATTCAAATTGGAAATTCCCCGAGGAAGTTTCATTATCATCAACTTCTGGAGAAGTGGTGGTTGGAGGAGTTTTCCTGCGACTCCTAGTTGCAAATCCATCATGGGTGGTTCGCAAACCAAAAACTTTCATATCTGATCTTTTTGATGCTGTACTAGACCAGCTAGCAAGGGGTGGCAGTGATGTAAGTTATACATTTCGTTTTGCTGTTGCCTGCTTGTCACCTTGAATCCTGATGATTCTTAATGCTCTACATCCTGATTTGCCCTTAAGATTCTTTCATTGAAATGTACCATGCACCTACACAAAATTACATTGCTTTTATGTGCATATTTTAGATCTCTGTTTATATGCATATATATTTATTTTTATCTCCGGTATGGTAGAGTTATAATTGAAAGAATTAAGAGTAAGACGGAGAATAGGATAGCAGATGAACAAGGAGGCCTTAGGAAAGGTAGGGGGTGTGTGGACCAGGTGTTTACAGTGAAACATATAAGTGAACAGTATTTAGATAAGGCTAAAGAGGTCTTTGTGGCATTTATGGATTTGGAAAAGGCGTATGACAGGGTGGATAGGGGGGCAATGTGGCAGATGTTGCAAGTGTATGGTGTAGGAGGTAGGTTACTGAAAGCAGTGAAGAGTTTTTACGAGGATAGTGAGGCTCAAGTTAGAGTATGTAGAAAAGAGGGAATTTTTTCCCCGTAAAAGTAGGCCCTTTGACAAGTGTGTGTGTACCCTGGTTGTTTATTATTATGATGGGGTTGTAAGAGAAGTAAATGCGAGGGTCTTGGGAAAAGGCGTGGAGTTAAAGATAAAGAATCAACCACAGGTGGGGTTTAAGTTCTTTTAAAACCGTTTTCCCCTGGGGGGTTAAGGGGAAAAGGAAGGTTTTGTTGGAGGGGTTTTTCCGCACTCTATGTTTATAAGGGTGTTGGAACAAATTTTTAATATTTGATCTTTGGATGTGAGCGTAACATTTAGAAGGGGCAGGGAAACCGGCGGCCCCTTGGGTCCCTGGAATGGGAAACATGCCTCACCTAAAATTTTGGGCTTTAAAAACTTTATTAAAGCCCCCTTGCAAACAAATAATTTGGGGTTTTTTCTTTTTTGGGCCCCCCTGTTTAATGGCCATTATTTTAAAAAAAAAAAAAAAAAAATTCGATTTTTTTATTCTAAGAATTTTCAAACCCCTTCTAAAGATAAATGTAATATATTTTTTGTTTTGTACTGTCAATCACACTAACAATTTGTTACTTCAGATGTTGATAAATTTTGTGCTTTGCAAGATGGATAAACAATTTTTCCTTGTGTGTCAGTATATGAAAGTCACATTTTTTCTTGCAAGATGATATAGCATGCATCATGGTGTAGTAAACGTACTTAAACAGCTAACATTTTAAAGTAATAAACATATTACTGAACTTTAAATTAAAAAAAATAGATAACACAAAGTTTTCAGATCATACTTATAAAAGCTCTCTTGCACTGGGGGGACACACTAGAGCTAGTGATGAGTACTGTGGTTGCTGTGTTATCAGCTCAACGTAACTTGCTCGAGTACCTGCCGCAACTAGGTCATTTCCCTCGAGTGGTGTCGCAGCTGCACTCAAAAAACTCACAGTACTCGTGCTCCCCTTTCTGAAACACCCTTTCACTTCAGTCAAGAAATGTAATTGGGAAATGTCTGCTTTAATATTTTTCTTGATTTCAAAATTGGAAACAGTTTTCCTCCCAAACTGGGGATTTTATTTTTTTTTTGACAAGTAATTATAAAATTCTTTAACCCAAAAAACTGTCCAAGCAATCTACTTCACATGCTAGTGCCCCAAAAAGTAGATTTTCCTTTTATTTACATATTTAAAAAAAACAGATCAAAGTTTTTTTACACATTTTCAAATGTAAAAAAAAAATGTCCTTTTTTTTTCATACTTTCAAATGTTGAAAAAAATAGATCTACGTTTGGACAGTTTTTTAAGGGGTTTAAAAAGAAGAAATACATTTTTTTTATCAGGTTTGCTTCATGTCCTTTAGGGGAACAGAAGTTAAGCTGGGCCCAGTTTCACCCGAAGTTGCTCCTGAGTCGGGGTGGCTTGTGAAGCCCTTTCATAACCTTTTTCTGGGGGGGGCACGTCCCGCCACTGCATTTGTTGAAGGGCCTCAGAGCAAAGTCATTCCCAACTTTTCTCTGCTTGAGTCAAAGCTTGATGCACAATTCAAAAACCAGCATCTAAACCCAAAACACAGATTTTTACCTCCTCAAAACTTGGCGCTTCACCTCAGCAGCAGAAGAGGTATTTTTAGGGTTTTTGCTATTGACTGTACGTTACTGTAAAAGCAGTCATGATGGACATGATTGTGTTGTACAGTAATTTTTTTTAACTCAGCAGCCATCTCCTCCCAAGGTAGGTGCCCCAAAAGAAGAAAACACATTCACCATCATTCATTCAACACTCTTTCCAAAAAAGGTACTGACATCAAATCAACTGCTACATCCCCACCCCTCCTTCGAGTGAAGGCACTGCCCTTTCTAACCCCCAAACCCCAAGTCTTGTTTTTGGGTTTCCCCAAATTCCTTTCAAAAATTACCCTCTCACACTCTCAACATTTTCCTTTAAAAAATCACCTGTTTTCATTTATCAAGATCTCCATAACCTGTTGGAGTTCAACCCCCCCCCCCTTTTTTTTTTTTTTTTACTCCCTTCCAAATATTCCTGAATGCCCTTTTTCTCCTACCTTCCACCCAGATTTATCACCTTTTCATCCTATCCCTTTCCTTTTAGTAGTTTTTTTTTTTTTTCAACAAGGGGGCCTCTCCCACCGGGGCAGGGTGACCCAAAAAAGAAAAAACCCCCCAAAAAGAAAATACTTTCATCATCTTTAAACCCTTTCACCACACCACACATTACCTGTTTTTGCAGAGGTGCTCAGAATCAACAGTTTAGAAGCAACACATATAAAGATCACAACATATCCCTCCAAACGGCAATATCCCAAACCCCCCCCTTTAAAAAGTGCGGGCTTGTATTTTCCCATTTCCGGGCCCAAAGTCCGACTATAAAAATAACTTTTTTTCCCTGAATCCCTTCACTAAATTTACCCTGCTCCACTCCAACAACGCAGGTCCCAATCCATTCTCTCCATTCACTCCTATCTAACACCTCAAAAGCCGTTGCTGGAAGCCCCAAACCCCTTGCCCACAAAACCCCTTTACCCCCTCTCCCAACCCTTTTGAGGAGACCCCTACCCCCCCTTCCTTCCCCATAATTTATATCTTTCCATGTCATTCTCTTTGATCCATTCCTCTAAATGACCAAACCACCCCAACAACCCCTCTTCTGCCTCCCCTTGATAATACTTTTATTAACTCCACCCCTTTTTCCCCTAATTTCCACACTCCGAATTTTTCTGCATAATATTTACACCACACATTGCCTTAAACAGGACATCTCCACTTCCCTCCAACGTCTCCTCGCTGTGCATTTACCACCCAAGCTTCACACCCATATAAGAGTTTGGTACTACTATACTTTCATACATTCCCTTCTTTGGGCCTCCATAGATAACGTTTTTTTGACTCCACATATACCTCAACGCACCACTCACCTTTTTTTTCCCTCATCAATTCTATGATTAACCTCATCCTTCATAAATCCATTCCGCCGACACGTCAACTCCCAAGTATCTGAAAACATTCACTTCTTCCATACTCCTCCTCCCCAATTTTGATATCCAATTTTCTTTATCTAAATCATTTGATACCCTCATCACCTTACTCTTTTCTATGTTCACTTTCAACTTTCTACCTTTACACAAAATTCCCAAACTCATCCACTAACCTTTGAAATTTTTTTCTTTAGAATCTCCCATAAGAAACAGTATCATCAGCAAAAAGTAACTGTGTCAATTCCCATTTTGAATTTGATTCCCCAAAATTTAATCCCACCCCTCTCCCGAACACCCTAGCATTTACTTCCTTTAAAAACCCCCATCTATAAATATATTAAACAACCATGGTGACATTACACATCCCTGTCTAAGCCCAAATTTTTTACCGGGAAGTAGTCTCCCTCTCTTCTACACACCCAAAACTTGAGCCTCACTATCCTCATAAAAACTCTTTACAGCATTTAGTAACTTACCACCTTTCCATATACTTGCAACATCTGCCCATTGCTCCTCATATCCACTCTATCAAAATGCCTTTCTAAATCCATAAATGCAATAAAAACTTCCCTACCTTTATCTAAATACTGTTCACATATATTGCTTCAATGTAAACACTTGATCTACACATCCCCTACCCACTCTGAAACCTCCTTGCTCATCCGCAATCCTACATTCTGTCTTACCTCTAAGTCTTTCATTTATAACCCTACCGTACACTTTTCCTGGTAATACTCAGTAAACTTATTCCTCTATAATTTTTACAGTCTCTTTTGTCCCCTTTCCCTTTATATAAAGGGACTATACATGCTCTCCGCCAATCCCTAGGTACCTTCCCCTCTTTCATACATTTATTAAACAAAAGTACCAACCACTCCAACACTATATCCCCCCCTGCTTTTAACATTTCTGTCATGATCCCATCAGTTCCAGCTGCTTTACCCCCTTTCATTCTACGTAATGCCTCACATACCTCCCCCACACTTACATTCTGCTCTTCTTCACTCCTAAAAGATGGTATACCTCCCTGACCACTGCATGAAATTACTGCCTCTTTTTCTTCCTTAACTTTTAAAAGTTTATGGTTTACATTATCTCTTATCTTTTTACTCGTCACCTCATTAACCCTTAGACTGCCACAAGCCCCTTTCTGAAACTGTCATTCTATGTCGAAAAATTTTTGGAAAAAAAAAAAATTATTTTTTTTAATGAAATGATAAAGAATCTTTTCCCGATGGTAATGACACCCACAAAGTTAACAATCTCAGCAATATATATGCATCAGCGATTTCGCCGAATTTGAGCCCTATTTTTGGCCAATTACATTGTTCCAGTCGACCAAACTCATAGCTATTTCTTTAGAACTCCATTTTTTCTATCAATTGAGTACAAGAAACCGCCCATTTACTGATTTCAACTACCCAATAAAGTGGTCAGAAATTGGCAATTTGGCCAATTTCACGCAAATTAAAAAAGATTTCAGTTTCAAAATAGAGTTCAGAATAAACAGTGCAGTCATTCTTGGCACTAAAATAACATATCTTCTGTTCATTAGTCATGTCTCTAGGCCTCTCTTATATTATTCTTGCTTTCTATTTTTATTCACACAAAAAATAGAAGATTTACTGTTATGCAGGATGCTGCATTATTGTAAAAATGGTATAAATATCAGTGCACTAGTGAAAGAACATTAGACTTCCCAATTGATGTGTATTGGCTGTGTGGTGTGAGTTGCTTACTCTTGAACATTGAATATTTTAAGGTTGTTTTCATCATGAAACTAATCAAAATCATCTCTGTTTCTGTAATGTTTTCCATTCTATCAAATGAGACCAAGAAAACGGGAATACAACCATAAATACTATACGAAAATACACCTCAAAGTCGGCGCTTTAATCCAAAAACACTGTCGGATTTTTTTTTTTTTTCATTATGCACTGTGTACTGCAGGATTTTTTTTATACAGTGCACACTGACCACACAGACCCATTATTACAACCCAGGAATCCAAAGGCCTGTTATCCTGGGTGTAAAGGGAGCAAAATAAACACAGCAGAAAAACTTTTGACTTACATTATCCTTCACCAAGTAAGAACGGATGTACACTATAAACACTATGTACAGCAATAGGTATTAGTGCATTCCACGGTAAGCAAGGCAGAATAGAAGCCCATAGAGAGAGCAGACCGTGCTTCAACCAGCTCTAGAATGGGAATGACAAGGGCAGATAGGTGTGTGGTACCCACAACACCTCTGTGACTGTCAAAGCCATCCTCTCATTGGCTGGAACCTGGGTACTGATTGAACGATGGGGCCCCATCATCAACCCTTAGCCCCTGGTTCGCTGGTTGGGGGAGATAGCCTTTCAGTGAGGGTGTGTGCATGCGCCGAATAAAGCTTACGTACTCTTTGCATGCCACACCCATTCTCTCACATATGGGCCTACCAGCTTTCTCCTGCTTGATATGAAGCCGCTAGAATTATTGAGTAGATATACGTCCGAAACACTGATTCGTAAGACGTATATATACGACTGAAACAGTCAAACAGTTAATACATATCCTCATGTTCTAATTCATCATTATTTTTAATTTCTCTGTCGTCTTTTCCCTCTACCTGATAACTTTTTTTTAACCCAAGTTCTCCATAGAACTTACCACCAAAGAGTCTGACTTCAGCACCTTCTGCTTTCTTTTCTGTCTTAAAGAGATTAGTCACCATTAATTTCTTGAAAATATGTTATTGTGAAATTATTTTCATTTAACTTTTTTTTTTTTTAACCCGTAAACGGTCCAAACGTATATGTACGTTTTTTCAACATTTGAAAGTAAGTAAAAAAAGTAGATCTTCTTTTTGTTTTTCTACATTTGAAAATGTGTAAAAAACTTTGATCTACTTTCTTTTTTTTTTTTTTTTAATTTGAAAATATGTAAAAAAAAAACTTAGATCTACTTTTGTAGCACTACAATGTGAACAAGATCTGCTTGGACCCTTTAGGGTTAAAACAGCCTTCCCAACCAAGGCAGGGGAACCCCCCAAAAAGGGAAAAAAATTTCCACCCCTTTAGAGTTCAGGCACTGTACTTTTCCCCCCCCTGATCTCAAAGCTCTAAAAGTTTTTTATTTTGCCTTCATAAAAATTCTTTTTTTTCTATTGTAATTTTCATGTGAAAAACCCGCCCTTTTTCACTTCAGTTTATCATTTAAAACGTACGTACACACAAGAAAAAAAACCCTTTGACCAAAGTGAATGATAATTTTGTAGTGAGCAAGAACATAATTTTATTTTTCTGATTTTTGTTAAAGTTGCGTGAGGGGAGGCTGGAAAAAAAAAGGTTAATTTTGAAACCATAAGTATATGAAATTGAACATTCTACAGAGTAAAGAATGAAGAAATTAAAGAGATGTATGGATGACAGGTATACTGTATTCAAAAGCCAATGGTAGTGTTTAGATGGTTTGGTCATTTAGAAAGACTGGAATAAGATAGGTGGATGGATGGTAGGTGATATATGGAACATCTGAGAAAGGGATGGAAGGATGGCTTAAAGAGGTAAAAACTTAAAACAAATAAATTTTATTTTGAAATTGTACACAATTGTCACCAAATTAAATTACATTTATTTCATATTTTTGGAAAAGCCCCTAGTTATGCAGAGCATTTTGGGCTGGCTGAAACTAGAATGTAAAAGTACTTGATGCTGTATACAATAAACCTTCAGTGTTATGGTCTGATAGGGAGAACAGGTAGCAGTAAGGGAAACCTCCACTCGGTGAACTGGGTTTTTCCTAGCTATTTTCAGAATATCTGAAAAAGTTTTTGAATAAGTGATTTTACTGGAAAAAATTTAATGGCTGGTGACAATACTTGCAATGTCTTCTTTTATATAATTGTTTGTATTTCAAGTTAATTGTTTCCTGTATCTTTTAGTGATTTTGTTAGAATCTACTTCTGAGGCAGTGATTAGTAAAAAGTACAAGGAATAAGGATAGATGGCATTAAGAGAGCTATTAATATTGGATGGGTCTTGGAGATGTCACTATCTAACTTGGTTCTGGTTAGGGAACCAAAGCTGTTGAATTCATTAGTAGTATCAATAACTGACAGGATGTTCATTATTATAATCAAAGAAAGCACTAAACTGACAAGGATCATACAAGACAGGGTATTCAAATTTTCTCTGGAGAGTGTTATATGCTTCTTGTTTTTGGCATTGTTCCTAGAATTTGAGAAAGGGCTTTCCAAGTATGTACTTTTTTTTATGTTGCCTTTAATTTCATTTAATGTTTGAATAGTATATCTATTTTGCTCTTATAATTAAGCTACAAAGAATTACAGAGTAACTTTTAGATATCTCCTTAAGAATGAGCACTAACCCGTACCTTTTTCATGGTTGTGTTTTTTTATTGATAGATCTGATTATACCTGCAGTACTTTGTAGATTATTTCATGTAGCTCTTCTTCCCAATTTTTTTTTTTTATTAACACATCAGCCGATTCCCACCAAGGCAGGGTGGGCCGAAAAAGAAAAGCTTTCATCTTCATTCACTCCATCACTGTCTTGCCAGAGGGGTGTTCACACTCCAACAGCACATCAAGTATTAAAAACCATTTGCCTCCATTCACTCCTATCAAATACGCTCACGCATGCTTGCTGGAAGTCCAAGTCCCTTGTACACAAAACCTCCTTTATCCCCTCCCTCCAACCTTTCCTACGCCGACCCCTACCCCGCCTTCCCTCCACTACAGATTTATATACTCCCTCAGTGTATATACACTGAGAAATGTATCCCTCTCTATTTTTTTTTTTTTCAACAAGTCGGCCGTTTCCCACCGAGGCAGGGTGACCCCAAAAAGAAAATACTTTCATCATCATTCAACACTTTCACCTCACTCACACATAATCTATATATACAATATATTCTATGATGACATGGAATGCTTAGAAAATGCTTTATATCTTTTTTTTCTACTGCAGGTCAATGCTCTTTTGTCAAAATCAGCAGTTTGGCCTCAGTACCGTGACCAAAAACACGACCTGTTTATTGAATCTTCACCTACTGCTGGGTACCTGATGGGTGGGGCACCTGGAGTGGCTGGCTTCCTCACTCAGGGCTCCTCACGAGCCATGCCATCAACTCCTCCATCAGTTAATAGTACTCACAGACAGCCTGAATTACCCTGAGTACTTCCTCGTGATGAAAGATAAGATTTTTTTTTTGTCTAATGTATATACAATATCATTATCATGCGCATGATCTCTATACAGAAATGTAAAACAAAATTCCTTGGAGCTTTTTAATATAATTATTTCCATGGAATATAATTTTAGTACTGCAGACTGTGATTTCTACACGTGAAGAAGATATATTGGAGTGTACAGTAATTTAATTCTTTATCATATACATAATTGATTTCTTGATTAATGCACTAAAGTGTTACATTCTTGACTTGATTAACAGCAGACTTATAGTTTCGAAAAAATAATATTGCCCAAGTTGCCAGGACATGTGATATCAAGTAGTTATAACTAATATTTTAATCTTGGAATGAATTATATATCTGATAAAATGTATATTCAAAGCACACACATTATGCCTGACTGCCATCAACACTTTTTCTAAAGCTTGCATCAATAGATCATATCATCACATTGTATAACCTTCAAATAATATAACACTGATCTGTCCCTTTTTAATGTTGGAAGAGCTAGTGGTATGTATTCACAAGTTCTGTTATAAGGTGTTTATGAAGTATCTGTTTATGGTTTACAGTATTTGAAAATCCAGTTTTCTTTTTGAAGCTTTATCAGTACACCAAATATGGCTTGGGTATGACTTGTACAATATGAGTGCTATATCTTACTGTGTTCACTTCTAATCCACAAATTGCAGGTGAAACTAGTCAACATTTTAGTGTCCCAGACCATTACCAACTCTTGACTTCATAAGAGTTCATGATGAACCAAAATATCACCTAGTTTGGTCTCCAATTTCTGGGTTAGATATGAATTGTTCTAGCCATGGTATTATTATTACTATATTCGTGGGGAAGTGCTAAACTGTTAGGGGTTATACAGTGCTTGGTAAATGGGAGGTAATCATGTTTGATCCAGAGAAAGGAAGGATAGCTTCAGTTCCTTGGATCATGAGCTCTTTTCCATCATCAAGGCACTCTCTCTCGAGTGTATTATTTGCTGCACAGAAATTATGAATAAAAAATTAAAATCTCTGATAGGTTTTCTTATAGTGCTAATTTGACAGTAATTATTTTAAAAACTAATTTACAGAATTAATGATGGTCTATACAGTATTCAGCAAGCTGTTAGTGCTTCCTATCTTACTCCTCCAGAAAGGACCTTGACTGATGAATGTTGATTCGAAGGAATAAGGTAATCTCTCCAACCCTACTGAATATGCATTATTGTTGAAGTACGTAACACTAAAGCAGAGTTTCTCAGAGTGGGCTGTGACCTCCCATGGGGGTCATGAATCATGAGTGGGATAAGCCTTAAATGGCTCATGGGTTCTCTTAGTAAATTGGCTGAGAAATGCTGAACTAGAAATTTGCTCTTAAAATTGATTTAGAGTTTGGGCACATTAATTATAAGAAATAAAGACAGTGGTAGCAGAAAATCCTTTCAATACATTGTTTTTCCTAAGCTTTCTCAAGTATATAAGAAGAAGCAAATATATCACCTTTTAAAGCAGACAAGCACCAAGAGGTCAGACTTGGAGAAAGGCCATATGTGAGGTCATGTGGCCTCGGTTTCATGACCGCTCTACCTTGGTGGGAAACAGTTGATGTGTTAATAAAAAAAATGAAATAACATATAGCCTGTCTTCAAGCCTGACCTCATGGTGCTTGTTTGCTTTATAAGCACTGCACTTGACTAACATATTACACACACATTTATGAAAATGAATTTGAAGATGTATTTTTTTGATCTAGCAGATTTTCTGGCAGGCAAAAAAAAAAATCCAATATGTTGTACTAATAATTCAATATGTTTTTTCATTGTCATTTATATGCAATATAAAGTGCCTGAGAACTTGTGCATAAAACACTAGTATAGCATTAAAATATAACAAGATTTGTAAGTATATAAACGAGTGATTCAAAAGTCTGTGTTAATTTATTATTAAAGATCTTCATAATCTTTCAGGTTGCATGATAAGAACAAGAATAATTTTAAATCATGAATTAAATGAAAAAAATTCTAATTAATCCTTTGACTTTATAGTATTTTATATCTTCATAATTTCATTGTGCATCAGAGCATTGTCTTGTATCTCTAACTTCCGAAAGTTAAAATCAATCATAGAATATTAGCTTTGATGAAGTATTCCTTGTTACAGCATGCTCAGATCCTCTGAATATTCTCACCAAGGAATTAACACATGCCATACCATGGTGTAATTTGAAGGTTATGTCAGTACATTCTAAATACACAAGCAGTAATTGCCACTCTTGGAAGAGTTGAGTGTGGCATTTTTTTCAATTACTTTTATTCCAACTCTTCATCAGTTTCCCACGAATGCAGTCACCTAAAAAAAAATGCATATTTTCAAGGAAAATTTATATAGGTCCTGTAAGGAAATCATTTTATTTCTGTAATTTAAATATCTTTAGCTTTTATAATGTAGAGTTTCACATTATCAATCAAATTATTTGATGAAATCTTTATATACTTAAATATTTGGAGTGTATTCATCCACTTGTGCAACAAAGTTTTCATATGGTTCAAATATTTTGGACATCAAAAGCCTGGTAATTAAGAGCTTATTAAATATAATTGTGCTTTAATCCCTTAACATCACAAGAAATTTGTAAACAGAACTCTGTTTCATTGGGTAATAGGGTGCATTCCCCCCCCCCCCACACACACACACACAGGAGCTGTGACTCGATCCCTGTAGCCACAACTTGGTGAATACACCCCCCCCACACACACACACACAGTGAAGAGGCAGGGCCAGGAGCTATGACTTGATCCCTACAACCACAATTAGGTGAGTACACACACACACACGGCTTCTGCCCAGACATAGCATTAGTCAAATATATAATATTTTAAGCCAGTTGTAGTACAAATGCATCATCTAACAGACATGTACACGGATGCGTAATAGCATGTACGAGTCTCGGATCCTGGAGTCTGCTTTGCTGATAACAGCATAATAATGTACCTATATGAATCTTAAATAATGGGAAATAAAATACAAAAAGCTAACAAATTATCAATTGTAAAACTCTCTGAAGGAATATAGTAATACATATTTTACTTATGATTGGTATTTGCATGATAATTAGATGCATTTACTAAAATCATTTAGGTAAGATAGTTATAATAGGATCAGTACTGAGGCACTAACAGACAGTTGTCACTGGGTATACTTACATACATACAGTTGCCATTTAAGGTCTCATACATACCACTTGTAAGTTTGCTGCTCATGGTAGTGATGAGTATCAGATACCCAGCTCACCACAGAGAGACTGCCTTTTACCAGCTATGAACAACTTGTAATTAATGGGTATATTTAAAGTTTGATTTTGATTTCCCACATTACTTAGGAAATAATTATCAACTTTTATTCACTGTTTGGTAATACTGAAGATAAAGATACTCGGTGTTATGTATAATTACTTTCTTTTTTTATTAATTAATATAACATTTAAGATGCTGTTATGTCTTAGTTTTCTGTTCATTACTTTCTTTATAAAAGCATGAACAGCACATTAATTTGTCCTAATTATTTGTACAAAAGAAACATTTCATGATAGTAATTTTGCATTATTTATACAGACTAACTCGAGTCAAATTACAGTTAGTTTTCCAGCTAGTCTGTGTGTAACTGATGGATGATATGTAATGTGACAATTGATTGTAAGGTTTTTCACTTGTATAAATGTAATTTACTTTTATTTTCATTGATTTATTTAAACGTGGCTTAAGAATATACAAGAGAGACTACAGCATTCCCCTGGGGTAATTTTACTGAAGAGTTAATTTTGGGTATAACACATATTTGTAAATAGCTCTAAGATAGTTGCTCTATAGTTAAGGAAGTTAAATGCTTCCATTATACTGTATATGCTGATGACCAACTACACTGAGTATATGAAAAAGCTCATATTACACATTATCATATCATTGTGGTAATTTAAGTAAAATTTATATAGTTTGTAGATTAAAACTATTGGTAATCACATTATTTCCCAGTATTTAACATGACAGTTTTTGTATATGTTCAGCTAGACAAAACTACCAAGAGTTCTCAACCTGTGGTCTGCAAACATTTAAGGATTCATATATATCTATGAATTGCTGAGGATGAAAAAGTAAATTCTTCTTCTAAAACATATTTGCTCTTCACATTACTGTAATAGAAACTAGTAGCCTCTGGTAATTCATGAAATCTTATTGAGTGTTGTGGGGTCTGCAAACCCAAGGTTCAGAATCTACCTGTTTGTCTATCAGTAGGCATATAAAGTACCTTGTTTATATTATTTTTTACATTATTATTACAGTAGAGCCAAGACAATATTTTTTACAGTAAGCATTGATGAATAGTCTGGAGATAGTGTTCAACATAATTTGAGTTACCATACAAACACCTGCAGCTTGCCATCTCTCAGAACAAATTTCCCTGCCAAGCAATGCTTTGCATCCTGCACTAGTAACAGCTGCAGAGATTACATCTCTTGTCCCATGTTTTATTTTCTTGATGTGGATTATATTAGTTTTGGAACAAAGATCTGTTATATGTACATTACAAGCTGTCCTGTGATGTAGGGAACAATGGTTGTAGCATAATGTATATACACAATTTTTATAATGAAATGTCTATAATAACAAATAACTTCTGTAAAAACATCAAGTTGATTGCATTGTTCACAATACTTTGAAAACTGAATAAATATACAAGAAAGGCTTTATTCTTATATCCAAAAAATTAATGTGAAAGAGAACACATGACAAATCAGTTTCCTGAAACTGAGAGAAAAAACTTACATTACTTGGAGGACATCCTTGAAGGTAAAGTACCTTAATGTCAGTGAAAAGCTCTTGACCCAAAGTGTTGCACTTACTCTCCCTCCTTCAAATCAAACCTGATTATCTTCCATTGCCCAGATACTGTGTGACCCTTACAAGTTTAAAACTTTCCCATGAATATAATCTTACCATGAAGACAGGTCATTAGAAAGATCATTTAGTAGGATATAGTATACAAAGTTATCCATATTATTATTATCTTGGGGGAGCACTAACTTACAGGGATTGTACAGCACCTGTGGGTGGGGGTTGGGGGGTGGAAGGCATTCAGGCTTAATTCAGGGAATTGAAGCACAGATCCAATTCCTTAGATCAAGAGCCTCTCACCAGCATCAAGGAACCTCCCTTGAGGGGAATGTATCCATAGCCTCAAAGTAGATGATTAAAAGGCTTTTAAGAGGGACTAGTTCCAAATCTGCATATGAAAATCACTCCCTATGAAAGCAAAACTCGGGCAGGTGGTGCAACATCCCCACTAGTGAAAAGCAGGGACATTATGAGTATGCTAAGAGACAATACAATAAATGTCAGGGGCCCAAGGCTGCTCAACTGTCTCCCAGCAGACATTCCCTCAAGGGAGGTTCCTTGATGCTGGTGAGGGGCTCTTGATCTATGGAACTGGATCTGTGCTCCAGTTCCCTGAATTGAGCCTGAATGCCTTCCATCTCCCTCCCCCCCCCCAATGTGCTGTATAATCCTACAGGTTTAGCACTCCTCCATAATTATAATCCCAGCAGACATAAGAGGGATTACCAATAGACCCCTGGCTGTCTTAAAGAGGGAGCTGGACAGACACCTGAAGTCAGTTCCCAACCAACCAGGCTGTGCTTCGTACGTCAGTTTGCATGCGGCCAGCAGTAACAGCAAGGCCTGGTCATGGACTGGGCAATGGGGTTGTTGACCCCCAACACCCTCCAGGTAGGTATTTAAACATGTAGAGAGCAATAATATACTTACTATCTCAGTTTACAGGTGGCAAATTACTTTACAGCATATTAAATCTATCAAAATTATTCAAAAAGAACTGGATGGGCAGATTGTAATTTAAGTATATTCAGGTTTCAAGAAAGCTAGATTTAATCATTAAAAACTTATTCAAACTAATAAATAAAGGAAGAATAAAAGGCAAACTATTACAGAAAATATTAATGGCAATAAGAATAAAATGTCACTAACCACACTACAACAATGCTTTTAATTTGTATGAATGACAGCAGAAAGGAAGAACTATATGCACAAGTTTGTGGATGCAAAGATCCTATGCAAAATACATATAGTAATAAAAATTACTGTAAATCCCCGAGAGATTGTTGTAAGATATTATGGGGATATTTAAGCATCAACAATAACAAAAGTTTGCAACCAGGTCTCAAAACTATATCAACAGTAATAAATATATAATTAACCCTTTGACTGTCGCGGCCGTATATATACGTCTTACGAGGTACCGTGTTTGACGTATATATATATATATATATTTTTTTTCCAACAAGTTGGCTGTCTCCCACCGAGGCAGGGTGACCCAAAAAAGAAAGAAAATCCCCAAAAAGAAAATGCTTTCATCATCATTCAACACTTTCACCACACTCACACATTATCACTGTTTTTGCAGAGGTGCTCAGAATACAACAGTTTAGAAGCATATACGTATAAAGATACACAACATATCCCTCCAAATTGCCAATATCCCAAACCCCTCCTTTAAAGTGCAGGCATTGTACTTCCCATTTCCAGGACTCAAGTCCGACTATATGAAAATAACCGGTTCCCTGAATCCCTTCACTAAATATTACCCTGCTCACACTCCAACAGATCGTCAGGTCCCAAGTACCATTCGTCTCCATTCACTCCTATCTAACACGCTTGCTAGAAGTCCAAGCCCCTTGCCCACAAAACCTCCTTTACCCCCTCTCTCCAACCCTTTCAAGGACGACCCCTACCTCGCCTTCCTTTCCCTATAGATTTATATGCTTTCCATGTCATTCTACTTTGATCCATTCTCTCTAAATGACCAAACCACCTCAACAACCCCTCTTTTTGCCCTCTGACTAATACTTTTATTAACTCCACACCTTTTCCTAATTTCCACACTCCGAATTTTCTGCATAATATTTACACCACACATTGCCCTTAGACAGGACATCTCCACTGCCTCCAACCGTCTCCTCGCTGCTGCATTTACCACCCAAGCTTCACACCCATATAAGTGTGTTGGTACTACTATACTTTCATACATTCCCTTCTTTGCCTCCATAGATAATGTTTTTTGACTCCACATATACCTCAATGCACCACTTACCTTTTTTCCCTCATCAATTCTATGATTAACCTCATCCTTCATAAATCCAGCCGCCGGCACGTCAACTCCCAAGTATCTGAAAACATTTACTTCTTCCATACTCCTCCTCCCCAATTTGATATCCAATTTTTCTTTATCTAAATCATTTGATATCCTCATCACCTTACTCTTTTCTATGTTCACTTTCAACTTTCTACCTTTACGCACATTCCCAAACTCATCCACTAACCTTTGCAATTTTTCTTTAGAATCTCCCATAAGCACAGTATCATCAGCAAAAAGTAATTGTGTTAATTCCCATTTTGAATTTGATTCCCCATAATTTAATCCCACCCCTCTCCCAAACACCCTAGCATTTACTTCTTTTACAACGTATATATATACTCGTAAATTCTAGCGGCTTCAAATCAAGAAGGAGAAAGCTGGTAGGACCACATGTGAGAGAATGGGTCTGTGTGGTCAGTGTGCACCACATTAAAAAAATCCTGGAGCACACAGTGCATAATGAGAAAAAAAAACTCCGACCGTTTTTTTAATTAAAATGCCAACTTTGTGGTGTATTTCCGTATAGTATTTATGGTTGTATTCTCGTTTTCTTGGTCTCATTGATAGAATGGAAAACATATTATAGAAAAAGAGATGATTTTGATTGATTTTACTATAAAAAAAACCTGGAAATGGAGCTCAAAGTAGGGGAAATGTTTGATTTTTGCCAATGTTCAAAAGTAAACTAATGACATCATTGTCCAATAAATGTCCAACTAGCCATTCTAATATGCAGTCATGAATGGGTTGATGTTATTTATACAATTATTACAGTATTGCAGTAGTCTGCATAATAGTAAATTTTCTATTTTTTGTTTGAATAAAAATTCAAAATAGAAAGCAAGAGTAATATCAGAGGGGCCTGGAGACATGACTGATGAACAAAGAAAATGTTATTTTAGAGCCAGGAATGTCTGCATTGTTCATTCTGGACCTTATTTTGAAATTGTCATATTTTTTAATTTTTGTGAAATTGGCCAAATTGCAAATTTCTGACCACATTATTGGGTAGTTGAAATTGGTAAATGGGCAGTTCTAAAGAAATAGCTATGAGTTTGGTCGACTGAAACAAAGGAATTAGCCGAAAATAGGGCTCAAAGTGGGCGAAATCGCCGATTTGTAAATATCGCCAAGGTCGCTAACTTCGCGAGGCGTAATTCCGTCAGTTTTCCATCAAATTTCGTTTTTTTTGGTGTCATTACAATCGGGAAAAGATTCTCTATCATTTCATAAAAATAATTTTTTTTTTTTTTTTTTTTTTTTGAAATTTTGGGACACCAGAAGACACCTCAGGATTGGGGGTTGCGACAGTCAAGGGGTTAAGAGAGCAGTATTGTACCCAACACAGTCAAAAGTTAATCAACACTTAATATATAAAAAGTTATTTAAAAGTGTAAAAAGTAACATTTGCACATTACTTAATTGCAATGAAATATTGAATTGGCCAGAATATATCCATCCGTGTCCACATCAACAGTCATGTACAGTGCATATAGGTACAATGATAAAAGATATTGAACTCTGTTACCTTTCAGCACCTAATAGTCTGGCAACCATCTTACCAAATGGAAAACTAGTAGGTTGTTAGTACCTTGATAATGTTTTCCAAGGCAGTGCGGGCATCAGAAGGCTCAAACACATCCTGCAGAACGTTGAGTGCTGCCTGAATGTATGACTTGCACAAATCCTTTGTTTCCTGTACACCTCTTCCTGCCATAACCACATGGTGGATCTGTAACAAATATTAATATTTTATGTAAAGGAAATTGAATCGTACTTAATGATAGATATCAGTATACCATTTTTAACAAAAGAAATTATTATCCAATCCTTTTTTTGTCTAGTTATTTATTTGCTAGCACTGAATGACCCATACGAGTCAATATTTTTGCAAATTTAACAGAGGTGTGGAGTAATAAGCTTGAGCATCCAGCAGGCTTGTGTGAGCATGATAGATCTGTATGAGTGCTGACAACGGTTTTTATGAATGTGCACTGTGAATATTAAAATGGTATACAATACTGACAGGTTGGTAAAACACATTTGCAACAGTTAAGTATCTTTATTCCGAAACGTTTTGCCTACACTTCAGGCTTCTTCATTCGAGTACAGAAAAGTTGACTGAAGAAGCCTACTGTGTAAGCGAAATGTTTCGGAATAAAGATGCTAAACTGTTGCACATGTGTCTTACTTACCATGACTGTGCACTGTTGGAGTGTGAGCAGGATAATATTTATGAAGAGCTCTCAGGAAACCCATTAGCTAGACTCTAGTTATGGACGTGAGAAACACAGTGCCTATAGTCTGTAGGAAGTGTGAAAATGTTGCAATTCAGAAGGTCACCTGAACTGTGATGTAGGCACAACTCTGGAAAGACAGCTGTTGAGTGAATGAAGGTAAAATTTTTAAAATTTTAAAGGGTCATTGCCTTGATGGAATAGGGCCCAGTGTGGCAAAAAAAAAAAATTTTCCAGTGGCATGTCTACTTTCCTTTTCTAACTCCCTTTGTGACTTTCTGCATGTCAACACAAAACAAAAATTTCAGAAAAAAAAAAATTTTTTGCTAAAATTCCCTGTATCAAAATTAAAATTTTTAAATTTCCTTTTAAAATTATTTTTATGTTCATCCCCATTTTAAAATACCCTTTACTTCTATGTACTTTGAATTTAACCCTTTGTTTTTTGAATTTTCCAAGTGTAACCCCACTAAAACTGAATCTGAACAAAAAAAATGTTAAAGGGGAGTCCCTTGACCCTGGTAAAAGGGCTTTGATCCGGGAAATTTAGTTTTACCCCCCCATCCCCTTTCTTCACCCAAACCCTTTGTTTTCCCCCCCCTTTCCCCAAAGGGGGGTTGCATTTTATTAATATAAAAATTTAATAATGTGGCAAAAAAAAACCAAACCCCATATAAAGTTTTTAAATTCCCTTAAAACAGAAGGTACAAGTGCCCCTTAAAAAAGATTTTTTCCCAGAAAAGTGACTTTTAAAAAATTGGATTACAAAAGGTCCCCACGTTGGGAAAGGGCTCGCAGAAAGTAAAATGAATTATTATACAATGATGATTAGAAAACCCAAACAAAAAAATTATGGTTTTTTCCCTAAATTTTGGCAGAAGAAAAGGCACGGGAAGTTTCACCAGACTAAAAAATTTGTTTACTCTAAAGGGTTTTTGGACCCAATCAGTTGGAGCTATCCCCTTTCCCCTTTTTAAAATTTTTAAACCCCTGTTTATTTCCTATCCTTCCATTTTTTTATAGGCACTTTTAACCCTTATTATTTTTGTGGGGAAAATCCTAAACCCATAATTTTGTATCCCCTTTTTAAAAATTCGGTTTTCCCTTTCTGTCTCCAGCAGCAGAGATGAGTTAAAAACAGTGGGGGATCACTTTGAGGTGAAGGATGAAAAAGGGGGCCGGGGGCGATCAATGGTGGTCCCGGGGAGGATAACAGTAAAAATCAGTGAAGGGAGGGGAATAAATGTAAGCCTAAAAATTGGTGGGAGAGGGCCCAGTGTGTTTACAAAAACGCAACATCTAGGGATGCCCAGCTTATTTTCTGCAAGATAATTTGTCCTACCCAAAATAATTGTTTAATTTGGGTTTCAAAATTGGTAATATGATAATTACTCTTCTTAAATTGCAAGAAAATATTTAAAAAATATTACCCCTAAAGGAAAGTCCCTTGATGTTTGGTGGAGGGGTCTTGATCTAGGGAATTGGATTGTGCCCCCGTCCCTGAAAATTAAACTCTGAATCCCTTCCCAAACATCCCCCTAAACAGGCACTTTTAAAATCCTACAGGTTTAGTGCTCTCCCCTTTATTATAAAATTCAAAATACTAGCGACTTACAAGACTTGTGGCATTCTGAAGTTTAAATAAATCCCCCCTTTTTTTTCCAGGAGCAATGGGCAGAAACCCCCCTTCTCCTGTGGGCCATTTACTAAAAAGAGAAAAAGGGAAAAACCCTTTAAAAAACTGGGATGTTTAAATGTGCGTGGATGTAGTGGGGGGATGAAAAGAAACAGTGATTGCTGATGTTATGAAGGAAAAAAATTTGGGAATGTCCGGGCCCCTAAGCGAAAAAGCTAAAGGGGGGTGGGGGGAGTTTCGGGGGGAGGGAAATAAAGGGGTTTAAAAATTGGGGATTTATCGAGAGAGTTAGAGCAAAGGAAGGGGTAGCGGAATGTTAAATGATCAGTTAGGGGAAGGAAAAAAGGGAAAATATGAATGTGTAAATTCAAGAATTTTGGATTAAAGAAAAGGGTTTTGGATGCGAAAAGGGGGGCATAAAAAGCGTGTATGCATGGAGAAGAGAGGAATCCCAGAGGAGGAGAGATTTTGGGGAGATGTTAAGTAAATGTATAGGAGCCTTTAAACCAAAGTGAGGGGGTAATTGTGGTAGGGGATCTAATGCTAAAGTAGGAGAAACTTTTAGAGGGGGGGTGTGGTGGGGAATTTTGGGGGTGCCAGGTGAAAAATGATAATGGGAGCCCTTTGCTTAAAACCTTTGTATAAAAAGGGGTTTAGTTATAGGTAATACTATTTTAAGAAAAAGAGGAAAAAATAAGTATACAAGATTGATGTGGGGCGAAATGCAGTATTTGGGTTGGATTATGTATTGGTGATAAAAAAAAATGTTGGGGTAGACTTCAGGATGTACATTTTTTAAAGGGGGCACAGATTTATCAGATCACTTTCTAGTTTTTAGCTACACTGAGAGAAAAAGGGTTTAGAGGGGATACGGGGAGAATAAAAAACATCAGGGAAGAGGAGGTGAAGGTTTAAAAAAACAAAAAAGAGGAGGATTTAGGGGAAGATTTTAAAAGCTTTTGGGGGGTAGATGGGCTAATGAGAGTATAGGCAAGGGGGCCCAAAGAGGTAGGGGTTGGTTTTAAAAAATGTAGTGTTAGAGTGTTCAGAAAAGGGTTTGGGGTTACGGGAAAAGGGGGTGCGGGGGGGAAAGGGGAGCGTTTGGGGGAATGATGTTTTGGAAGAGAGTGTAAGGGAGAAAAATTTTCCCATATGAGAATTTTTTACAAAGTAGAAGTGATGAAAGGGGGGAAAGAGTATATGGAGAAAAAAGGAGGGGTAAAGCAATGAAAAAAGGAGAGCAAATGAGAGAGTGGTGAGATGTTATCAAAAATTTTGTTGAAAATAAGAAAAGTTTTGGAGTGAGTTTAAAAAAATTTAAAGAAACCCTAAAAACCCAAATGGATTTGTCAGTTAAAAATGGGAGGAGAGTTTTTAAAATGGGGGAGTTAGAGGTTTTGGGGAAGTTGGAGGGTTTTTTTTTGGGGAAATTTGAAAAATTTGTTGTTTGAAGATAGGGAAGCGGGGGATTTCGTGTATGGGGCAAGGGAGGAATCCCCATCGTGGGGTGGGGAAAGACCCGGGTTGGGGAGTGTGGGGGAAAGTTGTGGGGGCAGGGGGGTTTTAAAATTTAAAAAGGGGGTAAGGCAGGCCGGTTTAAAAGATAAAATTTTAAAACCCCCGGGGGGAAACCCGTTTTGGAGTGGTTGGTCCCCAATTTTATTTTAATAAAGGGAGGGAAAGAGGGTAAGGTCCCTGGGGATTGGCAGAGAGCATGCATATTTCCTTTGTAAAAAGGGCAAAGGGGATAAAAGAGTGAAAAAATTTGGGGGGGAAAGGGTCTGTTGAGTTACCTGGCAAAGTGTATGGGGGAATTTTTTATTGAAAGAAAAAAAGAGAAAGACGGAGAAAATGGGCAGATGAACAAGGGGGTTTTATAAAAAGGGGTAGGGGGTGTGTGGGACCAGCTGTTTACAGTAAAAAAATAAAAGTGAACGGGTATTTAGAAAAGGGCTAAAAAGAGGTCTTTGGGGCATTTATGGTTTTGGGAAAAAGGGTATGACAGGGTGGATAGGGGAGCAATGGGGCGGGATGTTGCAGGTGTATGGTGTAGGGGGTAGGTTACTGAAAGCAGTGAAATTTTTTTTTTTTCCCGGGGGGGGGGGGGAAAAATTTTAAAAAAAAAAGGAAAGGGTTTTTTTTTTTTTTTTTTGGGGGGGTTTAAAAAAAAAGGGGGGGGGGAAAAAGGGGGGGAAAAAAAAAAAATTTACACATAAAGGGGGGGAAAATTTTTTTAAATTTTTTTTGGGGGGGGAAAAAAGGGGGGGGGGAAAATTTTGGGGGTTTTTTGGGGAAAAGGGAAAAAAAAAAAAAGGTTTTAAAAAAAAAAAAAGGGAAAGGGAAAATTTTAAAGGGAAAAAAAAAAAAGGGGGGGGGGGGAATTTTAGGGGGGGAAAAAAAAAAGGGGGGGGGGTTTTTTTTAAAAAAAGGGGGGGGGGGGGGGGGGCCCGGGGGGGGGGGAAAAATTTTTGGGGGGGAAAAGGGGGGGGAAAAAGGGGGGGGTTTTTAAATTTTTTTCCCCTGGCCCGGGGGGTGGGGGGAAAACTTTTCAAGGGGGGAAAAAAAAAGGGGGAGTTTGGGGGGGGGGGGGGGAAAAAAAGGGTTTTTGGGGGGGGGTTTTGGGGGGGGGAAAAAATTTTAAAGGGGGGGGGGGAAATTTTTGGGGGGGGGGGGGGGGGGGGGGGGGCCGGGAAAAAAGGGGGGGGGGAAAAAAGGGGGTTTTTGTTTTGGGGGGGGGGGGGGGGCCCAAAATTTTTTAAAATTTAAAGGGGGGGGTTTTTTTTTTGGGGGGGGGGAAAAAAAATTTAAAAGGGGGGGAAAAAGGAAAGGGGGGGGGGGGGGAAAGGGGGGGGTTTTGGG